TACGTACATACGTACATACGTACATACGTACATACGTATCATGATCGCGGGGAAAATATTTGAGTACATTTCTTGTGCATATATTGAACGAACATAATTTCACCGTTTGCGCGTCGATCGATGTGTGTTCCATTTATTTACAGTTTAAATACATGATTATAAATTAATAGGATGTGCATGCACGAATGTCGATTTATTGTTAATAATCGACTTCCACTATTTTCTTTAAGAAGGTAATGTATGTTAAGGATGTTACATTTGAATTTCGTGAATTATTTTCGGATCTATTTTGCAAACAAGCTTAACGATAACAAAAATGTTGCTGAAGTATCCACAGTGCACTATATAAAACAAATAAATTAACAGAATGGGGATTCCATTTTCTTGAATAATTTGACTCGAATGTATAAAGTGGCTTCTTCGATGGTTACGTGCATTTGTTGTAACTATGTTTAATTTACTAAATCATTTTAATCGACAAAGCACTTGTAATTGATTCTTTATTAGATGATGGCGAAATGGAATTAAGCTTAAATTTTTATATTGATCTAAACATTTTTCAGCAACACGGTTAAAAATGAATTTCAAACAATTTTAATCAGCGTCATATATAAAATATAAAAACGTAGAGATGAAAGTGTTCTAAATTGCCTCTTGTTTTAATTTGAGTTTATAGAATTTTTGGTAACATTTTATACACGGATTGACGCATTGTGCGTTAAGTAAAAGTGCACATCCCCATTGTCATAATTAGTAATATTACGTAGTGTACAATAAACAGGTTTCATTTGATACATTTTTGTTATTTGCTTTTCAAATTCTTTCAATTTCAAATCCTTTACACACAAAATGACTCCCTAAATGGAATGTCGATATTGACATCGAGTGACCTGTTTGATTAACTATACGATGGATGTCTGTTTCACAGACTTTACAATTTTCTTCAGATTCGCTATTTCTTTTTTTCTGATTAGCTATTGTGTATGTGTGATATCAGCCGATCGCTTATGTTTCAATAATGTACATGCAATTCATTTTTGATCATTAATAGTCAATGTTTAGTCAACATGTCCATTTCATTGGAAAATGTTAATTAAAATATTCGCGTTTTAAGCCCCGGCTGATAAGAACGTTCGTAACTGTTTCTTTTAACTAAATTGAAGTATTTTAGCGTTTAACAATTTAGAGGACATTATTAATTTCTGATTTTCATCTTTGTCATTGGCCAGTACAAAGCTAATTACTGTTTAAAAATAAAATGCAAATATCTTGACAGTGAAATTTTATATGCAAATAATTTCAACACGTGCATAGTCAATGATATCGCTTATATCACATGGTTACATCATAATGCATAATAATGTCCTTGAAGAAGTTCTATAATCAGCAATTTCGTTTTGAAAAACCTTCAGTTAACTATTTTGTGAAGACTGTACACGTAGCATAGCCTTACATGTAATTGTATGACATGTTGCACGATTTTTAAATTTGATCGCTTTAGTGCCAATTAGAATGAATGTCCGAGTTTTAAACTTAGAACATTAATAGCAACAAATCGTACATTGACGCAACCATAGCTTATATTCAGGTTCCATAATATGCTTCGAATTTTACAGATTAAATGTACTGACTTGTAGAGTATTTCGATATCTAGCAACAATTTCTCTTAAGATGATTCCCTTAGAGGTCGAAGTGATACAATGTAAAATGGTCTAGAGTTATTCAGAAATTCCTAAGTGTTTGATCATCCTTTATGTTAAAGAGTACGTTGATGAATTCACACATTATCGTATTACTTCCTAAAGCACATGTAAATTAATTACAAAAATGAACGTTCAGTTTAACTTTATGCGGACGTACTATAGACTTTTAGGGTGGAAGTCCTTATTTCTACATTATCGTCACACATTCGCTATCCTTGACTCGAATTCGTCGAGGTCCACGTGCAAGGCACGGATGACATGTATTACAATTAAATTGACTAATACAAAAAAAGGGAAAGCGCTCCGTACAAAAGTACCAACAACCGCGGGAAAGACCGACTAGATCATCCACGCTGAGAGAACTAGAACAACAATACACTGCACAAAATATATCACCAATATTCCCTATAATATATCATGTAATTTTACAGAAATAGTAATTATACAAAAAAAAATGTGACTTGTGGAATGTATAAACAAAGTACCATGTTCATGGAGGTATTGCATAACAAGTAGAGATAATAGCGAAAATTTTACGAAACTGCAACCATCGATTGCAGCACAGATCTCTTTTGAGTGAAAATTGGTATTCGCATAAAGATTTATTTAACACTTTAGCAAAATTGCACTACGTGTGATTTATAATACCTGCAAAACATGTTTATAGCGCCAATTAAAAAATGGCATGGTATTAGCGTATCGATGGAATGAATAAAAATAAATATCGTGTGTATCCGAGGTTGTATTAGTACTCCACTGTAAAAAATCATGTTCCTGTGGCCGATTAATTGATCGATTGAGTGCAGACGTCTTATCATAAGATGAATTTATATCATTCCCTCTTACAGCAGCAGATACACCCTTTCGTTTCTTTTCTTATCCGCTTTTAAAATAATGTCTTTTCTATGAGCAATCGATGAGTGGATTTCACTGTATCCTACAAAATTAAAAAAGGGGCGCGGGGGGAAAGGCTGCTTGACTTCATACGACCAGTTTCACTGCTACTATGCATATAAATGTGCACATTAAAATTGTCGCATCGTCTGCAGAACACAGCCTTAATATTAACTCTCTAAATGTCGAAACTGTGAGCGAGTCTTCTCGTCGTAAATCACGATTTCCTTGGAAGGTCACCGATCTTGAAAAGCTCGCGTCGTTTCTTTCGCAACCTCGAATTCGCGACAGGCTTCAACGTCGCGAATGGAGGGAGCGATCACCTCGTTATCAGCTGGGTGGTATCGCTTTTGCCGTTTGACCGAATCCCAGATTCGGTCTAGTTCCAAACCAGGACATTTTCCACTCTAACGTCTCTTGAAGCAGTCTCTCTTCTTCAGGTGAGAAGTGTAGAAGCGTGGCCACGGCTCTGGTTAAGTGAAGGGCCTGAGGGAATGAATGCTTTTCAGTGTCTGTACTAAATTGAATTTCGGGCAGATAAAATATCCCCTATGTACTTATCACAATTTTATGTCTCATTTCGTGCAAAAGAGTACACTATATCTCAAGCTCGCGGAATCATCTTGTCAGAGGAAAAGATCGTCAGGATTTCTAAGGATTTTTGAATAGTGGATGCGAACAGCTTTATCCGTTTCGTATGATTATTAAATACGGATCGAATATCGTCTTCAGGGTAATAGTTTGATTAGTTAAACTGCCTGAGTGTACAAAGTAAATGATGCTATTTTCCCGGATATAACTTAAAAACCACGAAAATGAAGATGCCTCGCGGGTGTACTTGTTCAAATAATTTCAGTGTCAAACTTTTCAAGTGTTACAAACCAGTGGAGCGACTCACTTCGTACTCTCTGCTCGTTAGGAACTTGATAAGGACGTGCTTGAGATACACGAAGTTGATGTCATCATCCCTGGAGTTGCATTGTCTGGCAGTGACCGTCCTGGAAGAACTAGGACTCAGAACAGCTACGGCAGGCTCCGCATCGCTGTCGAGAGAAGACGAAGGGACCCTCAATTCTCGTTGCAGGGTCTTCTTCATGTCCCCCAAACGTTGTTGTAGCACCTTGATTGTCTATTAAAAAGGCAGAGCGAATTATTCGTCTAAAATATTTCTCTAAGAAAAAGCTAGATTGATCTCAACACGAGTACTGAAAGTAATTTCAGGAGAATAATGACAAAACCTTAGTTTTCTCGGTAAGTTGCTCCTCCATATCGGAGAGACTACTTTTCAGGATCTTCTCGTTGCCCTCGATCCTCTCCCGATTCTTCTCGGCCTCTTCCAACTCGTCGATCCTTTGTCTCATCTCGGAGAGCTTCCTCGAGAACTCTTCGTTCTCCTTGCCCTTACTCGAGAGCAATGTCTCCAGATCCTCTATTCTACTTTGGAGTTCGAAATTTTCACTCTCCTGTTGCTTTCTTCCTTGCCTCGCGATCTCGACGTCCTGGGACACTTGGGCGTTCCTTAGCAATGCCGTATCCTTTTCCTCTTTCTCTTTCTCCAAAGTGACCCGCAAAGAAGCCGTGGTCATTCTTTCGGACTCCAGGGTTTCCCTGAGACGGGCCACTTCCAGATGAAGGGAGGAATTATTTGACTTTTCTCCCTCGAAGGATAGTCTCATGTGCGACAATTCCGCCGTAGTTGCAGTCAAACTCGATGTCGCGTTTTCCAGGTCTGCCTTCAATTGCTTAATTTCCCGCGAGGACGAATTCTGGGTAAAAACAGAAAATAAGAGATTAGTGGAATACGGGGACGAAACTAGACAAACTATGTACAGTGATTACAATTTATTACGCCGTATTATTTCTATATTTGCCATTGCAATTATAATATATTGTACTTTTTAAATATACCCGACGATGTCTCGGAGAAATTTCGCGGATTATACAGAGTAATTGTAGAAATATTATTTCGAATGAATTCCTATTCGTAATCTGGGAAAAGTTGATATCTTTAGAATAGTTGAACCGGAAGGTTGTAAATAATATAGTGCCGTTTGTTAGAACATTACGGAAATTCTTTTCAACGAAATTCCCGAAGGATGCACCTGTAATTTAGTTTACGCGGAATTTACGTGAAATATACACTGTTAAGTTAAAATACGATTATTTCACAACGTTTTGATCCATTTCAGAAAAATCGCACCAGAGATATTCAAATTTGAACGACTTAGAGGTGCGTCTCAAAACAGGAAAATGTATAAAGTTTAATTGTAATTAAGGGGAATAGTGAAACAAATATGAGACCTTTTCATTTTGTGACACGAAGACAAAACGTGTATAGCAATACTACATATAAGAGATGCATGTAAAAATACATTTATCCTAAATGGTGAGAACAAAAAATGTGTTAGTTCATCACCTTAAACGCGTGGGAATGCATACGAAATTTCGTGTTACACGTAATCGAAGAACGGTGCGATAAACGTGTCCCAAATTCGCTATCGGATATTGTTTAGTGCATCGCTAACATATGCAGGCAACATAAAGTGCAACGAATCGTAATCGATTCCAGATAAGGTCGTATCGTATCGAGTCCCTGTGTAGAATCGCAAGTAAAAAACAAAAAAATTAAGCGGCTCTGGACAAGGAGTATTAAAATGGGAGTGAAAGAAAGCAGAAAAACAAATTCCAAGAGAACTTTCGCACGTCTCCTCTTTATTTGGTAAAAATAAAAGTGTACATAAGATGCGATGTCGTATTTAAAAAATATTATATCTACCGGAGGGTACACACAAAACTTACGAGGCGTTCAAACGAATATGCTATCAAAAATAAATTCTTCCCTTAACAAGGTAGCACTAACACTTCTGGGAGAGAGTTTACAGCTGCACTTGTTAAGCATGCTTTCAAGCCAGCCAGTGAAAAATCGGCAAAAAGTATGGGCAAATTTTAGGCTCGAGTCTATACGAAAATACTTCAACTATTTGAAAACGGATTGTGCAAATTCCAATATGGGGAAAGAAGAACAGAATAATTTGGAGTAACTCGAAATGTCGAGTGTGCACAGTTTGAGTACATTTGTATCTCTTTAATTCTGCCAATTTCTAACTGAGGAAAATTAAGGTCCTCTCGCACATGCAAGATAATAGTGGAATCCTACAAGAAGAAAACACTATATACAAAATAAAGGGAACTTAACTTTGTGCGCAAAGCATCAAAGCGCCTCGGAACACATGCAAGGGGCAACAAAGTCTACTTTTTGTAAAGCGGGGAATAAAAAATTATGCCAAACGTGTTTACAGAAGATCATGCAAGTGTCTAACAATCTTACATTTTTTTTTTAAATAGTTGGGAAAACATTTCCTAACCCAGATTTTTTGTGGTTGCACAAATTTCTCCGGTTAAGAGGTAATTTCCCAATTGAATTAGTAAACACGTCTATGCAGATCTAAGCGAAGCGCACCGAAAGTAATAATCATAATAATTTAAGCACCTCATGAAAGAACACTGTACCTTTCAAAGGACTTGTTTCTCAAATAACGAAAAGCCAACACACATTGTAGATTATTTTTCAATCAACACTCCAAATAATATATATTTTCATATTTTATAACACGTGTCTTGGACACATTCCAATATTAATTTAGAAACAAAACATTAAACACACTTTAGCACTGATACAACATTTTTATATAATCTTCTTTCAAATGTTATGAATTATAACACGCATCAAATAGTTTTCCTATTAGTTTCATAATGCAGACAATGTAATATTTGTTTAGTGAACAACGAAAATATCACTGTCATACGTACAAGTGTAAAACAAGTTTTGAATTAATAACTTCGTACAAATTTTCGTCAGAACTTGGAAACATAGTATATATTTATGATTTGAATAAATTTATTATGAAGTAAACGTATTTAAATCGATATAAGATAATTGTGCAATGCGATGCGACGATAGATTTTGTCAACATCGTATAAACGAAACATTATTCGTTACATGTAAAATGTCCTTTGTACATAATATAAAATCTTTATTTTAAGACCAGATTATCGAAATTAATAAGAGGCTTAAACTGAAATATTCGTGAATAACGTTTCAGTGACTGAGATTTCAGGGTCGTTAGTATAATTTAAAAAGTGTTATAACAACAGTCACGTCCCTTTTACATCGTTTAACTCCGCTGTACAGTTTCCTTTCAGGGAGCTCTCAAAATGCAAACCAACCTATCAAAGCCTAATAAGAGCTGTCTCAGCACTAAGTCTGCTATAATCAAGGAGCCTCACAAATAGTGCATATCACAGGGAGTAAAACTATAATGAAATCGCAACCCTTGATTGGGTCGACTTTGTCCTGAACATTTAACGAAACGCGAAGCAACACATTACACGGAGAGAAATATTACCGAAATGGTCACATGACTCATACAAAACTATTATCGTAATCGTAACAGCAATTACAGACTAGTTGCAATTTTGTTCTAAATCCACTGCGGGTAATTACGGTAGTCATAGTAAATATATTGAATAAGCTCTAGCGGCCTTTAACTGTTTTCCCGTGTTCAACGGTATGTTTGGAAAGTGGGCATATCTTTTCCAGTCGGTTGCCCTTATCTGTTTGTACAGTGATTGCTGTTACAGCTATTACAATTAGTAGGACATGTAACATTTCATTTCTCTCCGTGCATCCATTAGAGTGCAGAGTTAATGCTCTAGCACTTCCCCCTCTCTCTCCCTTTAGAAACTCTTTTCGTCTCTCATTTATCCTCTCTCTTTATCGGCTTCTTGAAATGTCGAAGCCTTGAAAAGACACTGTAGCCATCATGCATCGTGTCACTGCGTGTCGCGGTAACTCACTATTTGCCGTTTGAACTCCTCGACCTCGTCATCGACGTTGGCCCGGAGCTCTTTCAGTTCCGTGGCCATCTCGTCGATGTCCTCCGCCATGCGCAAAAGCTTCGCGTCTTTCGTCGCCATGACAACATTGTTCACCTCAATCTCGGCCTCTAGCTGCTTAATTCTCGTCTTCAGGGCTTCCTTCTCTTCTTCGACGCGTCTCCTCTCGAGGCCCTCCTCTCCGGCCTGTCGGCTCAGCCTTCCGACCTGAGTCTCCAGGCTGGAAATCTTGCTGGACCAGCTAGTCTTGATGTCGGACAGATGCAGATGAGCCTCTTCTAGCTTACGCTCCAGCAGAGTCCTTTCTCTCATTAGATCGGCTATTCGCTCGTCTATGGTCGTATCATCGTCCGTCTCGAGGGCCACCCTCTGCTCCAGGACGAATACCTTATCTTTCAGGTGGCGGACTTCCTCTTCGGTTTGAGCCAGCTGGCTGGACAGATGCGCCCTTTCCCGTTGGGTAGAATGACGTAGAGTCTCCATTTCGTCCTGAAACGAAACATTCGTTAATAGAAATCGCTTCTATTTATCATTTATACGTGTAGAATTATTAGTTATAGTTTATCACGTCTTTAATTGGTATTCTTTTAAGTATTGGAGTGTAAAGGGCAAAATTAGGGGGATGTTATACTGATTTTATCGATGCCAGAGGGATTCCATTTGCCCAAACTGTACAGAGCACATTTCTATTAAATTAATACGTGGATTATTTTCAGTTTTAGTCACAGTACTGGTCTATTAATGACTGAACAATTAAAATCAAAAGCAATAACTAGTTTCAAATGTCACGATATTTATAGCTTCTTCATTGTGTATTTTACGCCTTCACAAATGATTTAAACATAACACAAATTTCTGTTTAAATGTTGATTAACCGTTGGTCTTTAATGGCGGTTTTAAAACAATTTATATTGATAGAGGTATTGTTAAGCAAATTCATTAATATCAAACACTAAACTATTACTATTTAGTAATAGTTATACTAAAATATTACTCTTATATTGGAAGAAAAATAATCACTTAATAAACATTCTGTTATTAAATGATGGTATTGTAATTTATTTTAAACAAATCAAATTATTCAGATAGAAAGAATTATCCAGTCGATAAAGTCAGCTCTTGCTTTAAGTACTTTATGTAGCACTAATAAACCTGCCGTGAAACACTCGTTTTCTATCAAGGACATACTTAATTACCCATGAAGAATCTTTTGTTCACTGGAAAGTTGTCAGCGAGAAGTGTGAAATTGCCAAACCTAAAATAAGTATTGCCCAGAAATTAAAATCAAATAGTGTCACTTTTGAATACTGAAGTGATAGAGAAAATTTAAGAATATCTTCCCTTTTCGATTGCCTTTAAGGAACCAAGGAAATTCATATCCAAAAAATAAATTTATTACAGTGTCTAACTTTTTAAAAGTGACACGTATAAATGAAAATCATGTCAATATTCAAAGATAGATCACTATAAAAGCCTGGGAAGAATCGTGCACCCAAGAAATCCCAACGTAAAATAAAAAAGGACAGGAAGCAAGATCAACGCCAAGAATTTTTCTTATACTTCCTATCCGAATATCATTTCTACTTCAACTGTTCGCGTACTTAGTTGTGTGTCACGTATAATTATAGCTCGGTACCGTGGAAAGTTTTTAAATGTATTAGCAACACATCAGCTAAGCTTTGAAAACATACCTCTAGCATTGGCAGTAGCAGCAGCAAACTAGCGGAACAAAACCGCCTAACACGTTGTAATGTTCTCCAATTCACTCACCAGGCAAATGTTTTCGATCTTCATACGCGCGTTTTTTTTTTCCCTAGCAACTTTTAGCTCGGGAATCGTTAAAATACTGTCCACGTTCCGTAACTCCTCAGCCCTCGATTCTTGACGTTTGTCATCATGTAATAAATTTCATTGTATGAAATTCAACTAACATTGCATTCATTGTTATACATATATATTCAGGATACTTTGAATTTAAATGAGGTGCAGAGTTACGGAGCATGCGTTACGTTACGATGGCCAATACCCCAAACTTGCTGCGTATAAATCAGGTGAGTTAAATCGAGGGTGGCATGTAAAGTCCAGAGTTGTGATGATATAAAAGTGCGGTGTATACAAACGGCAAAACGTGACGAAACAGAAGCGACGTCAAATTTCAAATAGAAAGGCTTGTAAGTAGTAGTTCCTGATGTAACTTCTCCGTCACAGGTCGGAAGATGAAAGTGATTGAGAAATAGTAATTGAAATGAATTTTAAGAAAGAAAAACAGGTTACAAGAAGAAAATTATTTGCATCACAGCTTACAAGAATCTAAATCAATGAGTATCAAATGTTAACATTACGTCAATAAAAACAAGGATACATATATCGGAAAGCATAGGTTTTAAAGATATTTATAGTATAAATAAAATTTGACAATCTGTGAAAATAAAATTGCATGCGATTTTTAGTCCACTTACTTGTACATTGTTAAGCTCATCTTCATATCGCCTCAGCCTCGAGACTTCAGCTTTCAAAGTATCAATTTCAGAAACTGCTGCTTTTAAGTGGTGGGCCTTTTCCTCGGCTTCTTGCTCTTTGGCTAGTAACTGAAAAATATAGAAAATTTACATTATATTTTTTCAAAGCAATTTCTATTATTTACATAAATTAATTTTTTAAATACCTACAAGATGTTTGATTTTAGCCATTTCCTGTGCCTGGAAGCCTTCCAGTTGTTCTGCGTCTTCTTGAAAACTGTATAGCTTCTTTTTGTACTCTGAAACATAAGAAAATAATCATCTTCCAGCTGCAGCATGTGGTATTTAATTGTGCAAACAATACCACAGCATTAATTCACATAAATATGATGATTCATTAATGCACATGGTAATCATTTACGACACGTGGAACTACCTAATTTGAGAAACACACTGTTTGTGCAGCTTCTTAGTTTAAGATTCAGGTTTTTGCTTTGAAATGGTAAGCTTAATATCGTTCAATAATGATGCAATAAACAAATAATATTAACTACATGATACGAATAAACTAACATTTGAAAATATAAATGGAAAGCAAATATTATTACCTTCAGCATTCCTAAGCGCTATTTCTAATGATATTTTTGCATTCTCTGCCTTCTTCCTGTCCTCTTCCAATTTTACTTTCTCTTTCTCCTGCTTATCCACGATCTTTTTCCATTCTCGTTCCTTTTCTAGTAATTTAACCTTCCATTCCTCTTCCTTTTTCTCCACCTTTTTCATAAGTTCCGCTTCTTTTTTCTGCAGACGTTTCCTCCATTCGTCCTCTCTATTCTCGAATCTTTTAACATCCTTTGCAGAGAGTTGAGTACCATCGCTAAGTTTTAACTCAAAACTATTCTCCCTCTTTAGGGTTAGTGGTGGCGATGGAGATGGAGCACACTCTTCTCTTAACCCATCCAAGGAAATCTGAGAACCACTGATACTACTGGCCGATCCTGTCTGAAACATAAGCGAATAGACGCAATTTAATATAACAATACTTGAAACTTGGATATCGTAATATTAATCAAAGACGAAATGAAAATCATTCCTAATAAATTAACATACATATATTGATCCGAGGTAGGTCTTCATTAGTACAAATGTTAGAGTTTAGTACGACCAGAGGCCTTTTACTTGTGTAGCTATCTAACCGCGCTTAATGCGGTTCAGATAAGCTATCGTGGACTCGATTCCGACTGTCGGTCCTTGCTTCGTACACTTACTTGAGAGAGATGCTTGGGGTTGATACCACGCACGGTCCCTACATTCCTAACAACGGTGGAAACGTCGCTGCCAATTTCCTCACGGATTTTATTCTTCAGACTTGCAAACATCGCGCTGTTTCAGTGCCGACTTCGGCGGTGAACTGACACCACCTGTCAATGTCAACGTCACGCAGCGAAGTGGCCCTGCGGCCTAAGGGGAACCTGTAAGCCGAGCAGCGGAGGCCCAGAAGAAGCTCACCAAAGTGCGACGTCCCACCTACAAAGAAATCTAGGGCAGTCCATGGTGTATTCGTGGTTTTTACTTGTAGTTTTATCGCATCGCCTCCACGAAAACCGGTAATTTAGAGGAGGAAATCAGCTAGCCGAGGACGCGAACACGCACGACACGGCCGCCATCTTAACGTCACGTGAGTATCCCGAAGCGGCGCGCCCGAGTCGAGCCGAGAATTGCCGAGGATTACCGAAGACTCCCAAAGACGAGTTCGCGTACCAGCTTCCAATGAATGTGAATGAATTTGACAAAATTCCGCCGATTTATCCTACCTGGAATTCATGCTGAGCACCAGATGTGAGCCAGCCAGAGCCAGGAGAAGCCACATGATCAAATTGACGAATTTCACAGCCAGAATATTAGACGAACTAAGTATCAGCATTCCGAGGGACATTTTAAGTGCGATCTCAGCCGAGTCTAACATATTGTGGACTAAAATTTTACCCGATGGCATCTGGCCGAATTTGATGGCAAATTCTCGACTGTAAAATAACGTCGTTGCGACTTTTGTACGGTTTGAATTTGCCGCGTTTCGGGTTATGCGTCTGTCAAGTGACGAAACGGTTTATTAAGGGCTGTATCATGTAGAGGCTTCGCTTTGCATGCAAGAGACCATTCTTTCTCACTCGCACTCATTTTGTCAAGCAGTGCGAGAGAGAGATTATGATACGGCGATTTATAGAGGTAACTGAGCTGTTTCCCCTCTCCAGAAAATGTTTTCCGACTCTGCACTTACCATATTTCTAAAGGAACCCGTAGCGCGGCACTGATTGGTCGATGGTTCTCGAATGGGTACAGTGCTAGCCAATGAAATGCAGTCTGCTTTCAGCGCTCGCGACGGCAGCATCAGGAAGCGTTGTTTCAAAACTTTTGACGGTTTGTTGCGACTTTGATGCGGGTTTCGGGCGCGCTGCTCCAATTTCGAGAGTTTTATATGGATCGAGACGGATAAATTGTGCTACACGGTTCCACGATGATTGGAGAATTCCCGGATGACACGATGGTGTCCGTCGGCGGCTTCGAAATGTGAGTTGTATCTCCCTTTTTATAACTTTCCTATGCGCGCTATTTTCGTCGACCTCCGAGGGAGCATGATTCTTCATTTCTCGGTGATTTAAACTAAGCATTGATTTCTTCCCATCTGTTTCTCATTAAAGGCAGTGGATACTTCCTCTTATCTTTCCTTTATATTTTCAGCTATCTTCTACACGAATGCATAGATTATTCTCAATGTATTAATCATTCTGTAAACAATGCACTCTGTTACTTGTATTCACTGTCCATGAGCGTAGATAAAGGGTAAAAATTATCCCTGTAAGCTCAATATGTACATGATAAAGTATAAAAATACATTATGTACTGGAATTATGTTTGTATGGGCTGTGGAATATAGTTTGTCCGATATATAACATGTGTAGGTGAGGTATGTTTATATTTCTTATCCTTATATTAACATGTAACATTGGAGTCATCATATCACAACTGTGCTTCCTCAATACAGTTAATCATAAATTATTCAATTACTCATGCTGCTTTACATAGAAGACAGACGAATAATGTATAATTATTATTAATTCATTACCATGCTATACGTTATACTTGAACATATTTTGATCTCGATAAAATATATATGAAGTTTAATATAATTCATTCAATTCGAATGATTTGTTTCAATGCAGACGGGACTATAGTATGAGTGTTTCTTGGAAGTATACACTATTCGACAAAGTTTCACCAAATTTAATTTGGAGTTACATGAATTTATTTTGCAGTTTCCTCAATGTTAAAAATGATTTGCAAATTATAATCCTTTAAAGACATGACTATATTGCAAATTGTATAAGTTCATTTTGGAGTTCCCTCGGTGATAGAACTCATTTGCCAGTTATAATTCTTTAAAGGTTCATAAAGTAAATTAAATCATAAGGATAATAATATGTTTTTTGTTGATATCGGATATTTCAGTATATAAAGGATGGTATTCCATACTTTCTTTTTAATCAATAAGCTCTAAAGTAACAAACAAGTGGCATGTAGGGATATAGTGAAATACCCACAGAATAAAGAGAGTTATCGAATTAATGCGGGCGTTATACGATTACAATGTGAAATTTTCGCTATACGTGATTTTCCCATGATTTTGCTCCAAGGAAGTAACTCCTCGAAATGGGTCAGGTTTATTCTTTTTCCAGGGGTATTGTACGGGCCCTTTTATACCGTTACATACTTTGAGGGGATTTTCTGTATTACTGTCTTCAAGCCTCATCGCTTACCTGCACCGGGCCACTAAAATTTGTCACCACGTTAACCCAAAATCGTCGTCGACGGTAACACCGAAATTTACATAAAATCTTGGTACCGTTATGAGTATACACAATGCTTTACGAAATAGCGACACTAACAAGTCTTAATAGTAGAGTAAACATTTAGCCTCGATTATTGCGAGAAAATATTTGTCACCACGTTAACCCAAAATCGTCGTCAGCGATAACGCCGGTATTTTCGTAAAATCTCGGTACCGTTATGAATAAACACATGCTTTACAAAATAGCCACCCTAACGAGTCTTAATAGTGGAGTAAATATTTATTTAACCTCGATTAGTGCGAGAAGATATTTTACTAAATGTATGTTATTACGGAATGTATTAGCTGGGTTATTGCGAAGATATGCTTAATTGATATTAACATCATCACGGTAAAACGAGGCTTAAAAGAAGTACAAACCCAGTGGAGTTTTTCGACACGAATTATATTCGATAATACTAGGTTTTGTATAAACTGTGAATATCTTGGGTTTTTAAGTGAAGCTATTAATTGTAGAAAATGATTTTTATAAATGTATTAATAGTCATTTTGAACGCAATTGCGAGCGCAAGTTCATTGACGAGTATAGCGCGCAGTAAATCCACATTTTTGAAGTTCGTAGAAGTGATAAAGACTGTCAGTAATTAAGCGATTTAGTTTCTGTGAGATCACTCTGCAATCGTAAGACGTCACAGCTGCACAGCTGCACACAAGACTTACAAGGAACACGTGGGGTGCACGTGTTTACGTGTTAAAGGACACGTAGGATCTCTTTCAACACGAATTAGCCACTCCAAGATTTCGAGAACGGAAAAGAGTACTTTTCGTCCTTTAAGAAAATATTTCCTAACCCCATTAAATTTTAAAAACTTCGCGTCAATTTAACAAACTCTTTATGTAACGATTGCAATTGATTTAATTAAGCGCCATCGCGCAGTGGTTAAATAGAGCTTAATTTTTTTATTAAGAGATGTCAAGAGAAAATGTGAATATTCATTCGATCGTATTTGTACAGTTTTTGTGGACATGTCTTGTACATTCTTTTAGAAAAGCTCGCGCCCTCAAGACCGAAATATCGTTAAAAGTGCAGGTTAATGATAGTGGCCAAGAATAGACCTTCATATCTATCAATTGTCGCCAATACGAGTCGATTAATAATATTTTGATGCGTGCTAACTGGTGCAGTGTTGCTTGTTCGAAACGTGAATTCACTCATTGTCCATGTCAACGGAGCCTATCTACTCGGTCAAAGGTTAGAGGTCTTTCGAAAGATCAGTGGTTCTCTGCTAAAAGACGTGTAGGAAATATCACGCATATCTGAAGGAGAGTCACTGGTAAAATCTCACGAAAAAGAGGAATTCATCACTTTTAGCGAAACATTTCATCCTTGAAGTGCAATACATTTCACCCCAATGGAAGCCCGACAAGACGTACATAAAGATTAATTAAAGCCATCCGTAAAACGATCGATCAAATGTATTTATCTCCCAAAAAATGTTGCCATTTATTACAACATTCCCTGCAGGGCACAATTTTGAGGAATAATTTAAAAACGCCACGTTCAATCGATATGGGAAATATTTAGTGTACGAGGCATTCGAGGAATTCATTCAGAGGAAAATCAAGGAATGGCATTTAATTGCATTTTGGGAAGCACTACATCTCCGGTCGATGCACACGTCCTCCGCGTTACGTCTTCCTGTACGACCCCTCCCGCCCTTCGCATTCTCCCCTTGTGAACCCTACCCCCACCACCGGCACGACCCGAGAGCATGCTGCTGCGGCCCTAGTTCATCCGAGACCACCGAATCGTCCGGTCGCATCGTCGGGTCGCTTGATCTGCGCACGCACCGCTGCGTGTTTGCATCCCCAGTGACATACACACTGCGGAACGGTTGACATCTCGCCGCTCGGAGAACGATCCAAGAGCCAGAAAAAAAGAGTCTTCGTCGGGCGTCGTCCAGAGATCGCGAAATCTCGGCCAGTAAAATGGGCCGCGGGGGACCACCCGTGAAGAAGAGACCGTTCTTCCTGAAGAAGATGCAGGATGAGGGACGAGACGGAGCGACGCGCCACGAGATCCGCGAAAGTGTATTCTCCCGCACCGACATTGTCTTCTAACGTCGTCTCCGGCTTTTTACGACACATCGTCACGTGTTGATCGTGAATCGAGGGGACTCCGGAAATCGTCCTTGGGGACGACTCTGCGTGACGCGGGACGTTTCGTCACGTGACGTTGTTATTGTCTTCGATGGTGAAGATTTTGGGACATTTCTACCTGATTTAACAGGGAAGGGGCGGACGTTCGCGCGAAGTGCGCCGAATTTTGTTTGAGGTTATACGAGCGCTGGACCCGGGCGGGAAGCTGCGCTCGCGGTGCCATCTTGTTAGCTCATCTTTCGGGAGATTTATCTCGATTGATCGGCGCAGTCCTGGAGGCGCAGGGACAAGGTTCGGGCCTGGACGAAAGATTCGCCGTCACCCTCGTTACGGGCGCCACGTGGTGGAGCCTACCGGGGACTAGATAAGGCTTCTCGTTGCGCACGTGCTCGCCGTGGGGTAATTAGAATGTCTTTTCACTCCGAAAGGAAATAATTCGTACACGGATATATTATTTACTTATGTAGCGTTTAGTTATTTTGACCGTTTATGATTTTATTGTCCGGTGTAATCAGGTTTCCGTCGGTATTTATCTAGGGATTCGTCGAGGTTCTCGGAAGTAGGAAGGGGCCTTCTCGGTCATTTCGGAACCTCTGCAAGCATCGCGTGTTTGCGTCGTGGATCAGCTGATCCAATATTGTCGCACGATCGCGTACGTCGAGTCGTCGGGTCACGGAGTTGCATAAGTAGAGGGTGAAACGCGGAAACTTCATTCACTGGAACTCTCCGTGGCGGGATTAAAGTACCTTTGTTCTACGTATTTAATTTCACGTTAGCTAAGAAACCTTCATTCTGAGTAACGTAGTTTTTTTTTTAATTTGTGTTGCAACTCCGTTTTACGTGTTTTTTTTTTTTTATAATTGAGGGGGTTTAATTTAAATCGAAGGTTTAAGACGGCCAAGCGTTGAAATCTTGTCATAAGATCGATTTATGTGAGGTAGATTAATCTCAATTAAAATTGGCACAGAAGGGCAGCGTGCGCGGTGCAGCTCGGGGAGGACAAGACTTTCTCAGCCGCCCCGTGTTTTCCTCGTAAGCACCACGTGTTATAAACCTCTACCAGCCGATCAAGAATTGTCACCCGACACGTGCGTTTGCGGAATCGTGGGACGATTTCGTACATTTCTTCGGGACTCAATTTAATTACGTACAAAGACAGACGTTGCAAGAAGTACAAGTGGTGGATAGTTTATAGCAAGTAAGGAAGAAGGACTCATCTGGACGATATCAATCGCGTGAATAATGGACTGATTTTATTCCATTATCTTGCCATAACTCGTGCCAAAGACAAAGTACAACGTGTTCAGTATTAAATATTATTACCCGTATTTGTATAAGGTTCTACACGAGTTTTTATCCCGCCGTTGACGTCCGTCGCGTTTTGCTCGCGAGCCTTTTTCTAAAGTGGTTTTTTCGTACCTCGAGGAAGAATTCCGAGGAACGAGTCGCCATGTTTTTCGGATACGGATACTCGGGCCACAACCAGACCAGCCCGACGTCACCCACAAGGACCAGCGTTTGGGGCAGCGCTTTCAGTCCCTTTCGAAAGTGAGTTTTTGATTTTTACCGCCACTTATTCTCTCGTTAACGCGTTCTATTGGTTATGAAAGGCTCGAAAAAAACGGGTGAATAGCCGTACGGGACATGTACTCTGAATGAGTTTAATTCGGGCTCGAGGGATGTGCACTGCACCTGAAGTGACCGAAGGACGGTCTTTATTGTTGAAATAGTGGCGCTGTAAAATATTTGTAGATCAAATGACGCTATTCACCGTCACTAATTAAGATTAATCCCCAGCGGGAGAATTACGCGAGTACTTTTTTCATTTTCATTTTTTTTTTTTGTTATTTTCATTTTAATAAGTCACGATTCTTGACGACAATCGTGCACGCGTAGCAATGCAGATTAAATTGGGAATTCAACGGCGTGGCCGGGGAATCGATTTTTTCGCGTGTTCCTTGGTATTTCCAGAGCAATCGCCACCGCTTTACAGCGGGTCAAGTGCTCGTACATTTTTCACAATTGTGCTTTTCACTGCGTTTCGAATTTCATTCAGGCCGCCCGTTGGTTGGTTGAGCCGGATCTAATGGAAATATCCTGGTCCTCGTGACCCACAGGGCGCCGTTGCAACACAAGTGTCGCGGTAATCTACATAAAGTCGACGTTCGTTTATTGTTCGTATGTGAAGAAAGGCGAGTGCCGCCCACTGTAAACCTCCTACGTGTTGTACGGTGCGAGAGAGCGAGTGCAAGGACCGTTTCCACGCGCCGTTTGGCGGGATCGGGCTGATTGTTTAACTGCCGGATAATTCGTTCAACTTGCCGTTAATTGGCGAGACCTGGTCGGACGGATCGTGTCGGCACATATCAAGGGGGCAGGGAAATTATTTGCGGATGATATAATTTATCCATTTATGAATTTACTCATTAAAAGCGACTCAAGGGGTTAGGCAAATTATTTGCTGATAATATAATTTGCTCGTTTATGAATTAATGCATTAAAGGAGGTACTCAGAAGGGCAGAAGGATTATTTCCGTTTAATAAAACTGATCCCTGTATGAATTTACCCATTGAGAGGTAGACTTTATGCAGTTTTGTGTTGTTAACGTGAAAGTATAAGATATAAATTGTATAAAATGATTGGATCTTGAAACGTATAAGTCTGCGGTAGGATTTCTTCCGCTAAATTTATTGGAAAATTGGAACATTAACTTATTTAGTCTAGTTAGTTTGTATAGGGCAATTTAAGAGAGACTGGTCGTAGAGGCCCGGAAAGCTCGGTTGTTTCGACGCGATGCAAGGGAAGTTCATTGGCCTATGCATGTAATTACGCTAATAAGCTCTCAACATCTGGTCATTGAGATGTGCATGTGTTTCGTGTATATCGTGTGGGGACTCGATAGTCAAGCATAGATACACGTTCACCTTTAACCTAATAGAGTATCTTTTTGGCCCGCGCTATTTGTGCCGATAATAGAAACGTTTCCAGTCCTCGATTAATTAATTATCCCCTTTGACCAAGTGTTCCCTATTATCAACCATTTGGAGTATCCTTATTATCCTTTAAAATATCCTAGTCACTTTGATATTAATTTTCTTAATTTTTAAAGGACAGTTTTTTCACCCTCTGTTATATCGAGGTGGTTGGAAAATGTAGAATTGGTACGGATTCGAGTTAACCCTTTTGGCGGCAAAAATGAAAAAAAGTAGTCCACCCTCGTATGTACTTATTTTCTTTTGGCGTAGTCCCGCGTGAAATAATGCACGAGAGGGTATGAGTCACGCACTTTTTCATGGACCCCGGTAAAGGGTGGGGTGGTTGGAAGAATTAGATCACGCTCGTGTTGCACCCCTCGGTGGTCCATGCCAGCCTCCACCTCGGGGGTAGGTATTGATTACTCGCACTTGCCCGCCTTGTCAGATGAAGCAGCTGCTGTATGTTGCTGCTGATATATTTTGAAAATTGTTATCGCCGCAGCATATCATTCTACAGAGCGGTTCGTTTCCATATCGATAACAAAACATTCTCAATAAACGGAATAACATGTCCACGCGTATGTACCGTAATGAGTTTCTTGGTATCGTCTCATTGAACTTGTTACGCCATAAACCGCTGAAGCAGGTACGATTTTTCAAGAGATCTACCGTCGTATCAATTCGGAGGAGATTGGATTAAGCGATAGCGTGTTTATTACGGCATTTTATCGCAGTAACTTGTCAAAGTTAATTCGGTAAGCCGGGGAAATAAAATTTCGGAAATTTGATATACAATTCCTTTGGGATTACGATGGCGATATTTATTGCTCAGGCTTTTTCGTGCCCAACTCAGCACGGGAGTTAAGAAATATTTCGAAATGTCGAGTTTTTATTTTGTGTAATTTTGTTTTTATTTTTTTTTTCAATTCTTTTTAAAGAACACAACTGGTATTTTCAATGCGAGGAAGAATTTATTGGGACGTCTGCAGAATGAAATTTGCTTTCAGGGTCGAAATGCTTGGCTTTTATCAGCTTACCAGACGAGTAATTCACGTACTTAAGTGAATCACGCTTAACCACTTGCGCTACGATTTAATTTTCGGTTGCCGTGCTGCGCTCTACAATATAACATGCGGTATAACATCCGTACAACATACCCTATCGATTCTGAAATATTTCCAAGATATCGATGACGCTACGCGATGTCGTGCACTCTGGAACTGTAGCTCGAATAATGAACGATCCAACTGTTAGCCGACGTGCCGGACACGTCGATTTTGTTTCTGCGACAAATGCCTAACGACGTGGTATACATGTCGCTGGCAGTTTTGGAACAAAAGCATCTCGACGTGCGTGGCACGTCTTTATAGCGCAAGTGGTTAAACTGAGTGTAAGGTCATTTTTACGGACGATGGGACTCATTAACCACTTGTTCGATAATCTTTGTCCTATGCGGATCGATTTTTGCATCTAACGCGACGTAGATCTCGGGATTTTTACTCGTTTATCCGGAAACCATCGGTGTGATGTGCTATTATTTGTTTATTGAACTCTTGATACTTATAATGTATATCTTCCATTGCCAATTTATTGTTTCAATGCCATGTATATATGCCTACTATCTCATTGTTCTAATAGTCAAATTGTATTCTCCGAATCAGAGGCAATGAAATCATTAAAAATTATTTTAAAAAATCAGAGTCACCTCGACGATGCTTCTCTCGCGGTTTGACATTTGAAAGTTATTACATACAACTTCTCAGTTATTTTCGGTCAAGTCACATGCACATCAGGGTGCATTACCGCATTACATCATTCCAGTGCTTTCCCACATCTGTCAGGGCGTCGTGCACGCATTTCGGTTGGATTTTTCGCGCATTCTGCCGAATCGTCCGGCATTCTAGCAGCATCTGGCGATGTTTAGTTCTATTTCGGTTTACGGAGTGCGCGTGGAAACAAAATACCGCCTATAAAATCGCCGGTCGCAAAATAGCCACAATTTTTCCCTATTTCTGGACTCCCAGGACGAGATTAGACCTTTCCCAATAGTTGTCACCACGTGCCTTTTGTTATTTCCTTTAAACATTTAGACGAAGAACATCGGGAAACGGGGACAATAGATAGAATTATATTATATGCGTGATTTGGTTTTAATCAAATTAATTTAATCGAGAGGACGTACAAGATGGCATTAGCGGTACCGTTTCGTCGAGTGGATGGCTCGTATTCTTTCGATTACCAAGTTGGATGCTCTTCCTCCCCTGGAGTTGTCCTTTTTCTGAGTCTGGCACGACATCAAAGGCCACTTCCTCGTTTTTCGACTTTTTTACATTCGACTTGTGAACGCGGTCTTTGCATTGCACCAAGGGAAGGTACTGTTGGGCTACTAATTGCCGACTGCGGGGAATATCCCTTCTCCTTTTTCATCCCGGAGGGTCTTAATCATCTCGGAGCCTTCGCGTATTCATAAAGAAGTCTTTACGAAAGACGTCGGTTAAGCTGGCATGGCTACTGTAGCGCAATCAAATAAAATGTACTAGCAAATTTAGGACGAGAGGATCGCTGAATTGAAGCATCCTTCCGTGTGAGAATTTGTAATCTTACGAAACAAATGTTATGACGTGTTTTTTTCTTCTTTTTTTAGTAGGACTTCTCATGTCACGGTAATACATGGGAGACCTCGTTAAAGAGATCGAGATGAAATCCTCTTTTTTATTGTTAGAGCTTAGCAGCTTTTTTCGAAAGCAACCCAGATAGACGGTCACGTACGTATTAATGTCATATTGTTGTACCTCAGTGGCAATGTTTATTCAATTTAACATTCAGTGGAAGTTAAATTAAACGTCACAATGTTTTAATCTGAGTGTGATATGAGATACACAAGAAGCGCATAGCTGCTACGAGGATTACCGTTCCGTAGGTAAAACTGCCAGATGAAGTCAATATAAAGTAAATCTCTCTGTCTGGGGACTTTTAGACTATCCCATTCCCGTAACAGCTCATTGCATTAGGAGAAATAAGTCTCGACTTCCACGAGGACCACACGAACTTCCCCTCTATTTCCGTCCTCGGTTTCCGCGAAACGGGAATCTCGTCTTGTTGCGCACCTCGTTGATGACTCGTCGGGGTGTTCTCTCAATGTCTTGTCCTTGTTTTCGACAAGGTTCTTTTCCTGCCTCTCTTTTCCATGCCCGTGACGATAACTCATCTTTTCTCCCCTTTTCTCCCCCTACACTTCTGTCGATAACGCTAGCTTTTTCTTATCGAGCACGTGCTCGCCATCCCACGTGGCTAGTATCTGACATTTGCCTTCGCGTCCTTTTTTTTCCTTTTTTTTTTCTTAGAAACAAACTCTTACTACAGCCGTCACCGCATGATTACGCGTTAAACGTTAAACGAGATTGAGAAGGATCTCGATTGAAATGAGAATTAATTATCAACCGAATTAATTAATTGATTAATAGTTGCTCGTAGACCTCGCTCTCGCATTAACAATTTCCCTGCCATGCTCATCGCTGTAACCCTTTATGGGCAGAACTAATTTAATTCGCCTCAGAAAGCCTTTAATTACCATGTCAGTACCACACAGCATCCCGCCCCTCTTCTCATCTCGGCGTTCCTGTGTGCGTACTTGACACGCTCATGTAACGTTTTGTCGTTCATTTTGATACGTGGCACGATTATCGTTCGGGGAGGTAATGTATGGTTCCGGCACATTTGGATTTAAATAAACAGACTTGGTAATTGGAACAACCTTTTTTTTTTGTGTAATACGTGATCTAAACCTTACATACGTGCTGCGGGGTACGGATGACACTGTCCAGATTATTCTCTGGGCACTGTGCGTCCGTATAATAACAAGGGGGTAACAAACAGAAACTCAACAATATCAATCGTAGATTTTTTTTTTAGTGGTGCTTGTTGTGATGGTAGTCGCCATGGTCGATGCCGTTGCTGTTGTGGACGACGGGGTGGAAACCGTATTTGTCGACGTGGTATTTCACAGTCCTCACGTTACCGCCGGGTTCATGGACCACGTACTCACCGGTGACGTGGTCGCCTGCAAATGAATATTTTCATTCATAAATGTCGATGCAATAAATTGTCATCCTTGTTAAAACATTTTAGAGAATTCTAAGGAAATGTTAATATACCAAAATGCTTCAATTTCTCATATCCTGCATATTTTGAAAATTTTATAACTGAATATTTTATTCAAGCTAGGAGAATACTGATGTAACGTGAAATTGAGAAAAATTAACCTTCTGACGTTAACCGTTTGTTTACAAATTGTAAATTTATGTACATTATTGTAAATCAACATGTTTATAAATTTCCGATTTATAAAAAAAGGAGTAGTACAACAGTGAGGTGCTACATTTTTTCTGGAAAATTTAATAAGGCTTAAAAGATCGATACACGGGTATGGGACTTTAAACTTACATGGCGCTATAGAGAATGAAATGAATTTTATTGCCGATTAAGATCACTTTTGCATTTTAGACCTATATACTGAAAATTAGCACCGTGTACGATACAGCTTGGGGAGGGTTTCTCATTTTTTCTTAATTTTTTGTTTAGTGAACTAGAACTAGAAGAAATGGCGGGGCTGGCGGTAACGACTGTGAAATGATGGGTCTGGGTGTTGAGAACCGCAAAATAGTCGATTTGGACAGAGGACATTAAGTCAATGGCCAGGAGTCGGTTAACTTCACGGTTGAGAATCTTGGAAATTAGGTATCGGCTTCTCAGGGAGTTATAAACAGTATTTTCGGTCCCGATTTCTATAATCATGCCTTCAAAATATGTTAAATGTTCTCTCTCGCTATTTTAATCCTTTGCTTCAATAATGGAAAATTAATCTTGGACTTAAATTATTTTGAATAGGTCCGGTCTTTGCAAGCTTATCAAAGAAAATGTTCAATTCTATTGTTCTTTACATTTACGTTAATGTAATTTGTAGATTTTAATTAGCCGTGTGTATACGATGCGTAAAATATTTATTGATTACGAGACTTACCGTCGTGATGCTCCTTATGGCCGTGCATGTCCTTGGTGTGGTGGTCCTCCACTCCGTACGAGAACTTGTAATGAGGTTTGGCTACGTAGTCATGATGATGGTGGCCATGCTTGTCAACCCATGACACTTCCTGGTGATGTCCTTCGACAGGACCATGGAAATGTTGGAACGAGTGCGCGTGATGTTCCGCTGTTATACTTTTGGCCATAACAGCGACCACCACCAACATTGGTAAAAACTGCAATAGCGTCCAAATGTTGTCAGCAATCATGACTCAAAAGCATACTTTATTCAAAGAATTCTTTTGCAAGATCAATATTCCGTATTTATCCAGAAAGTTGCCGGAGAAATGTATCTTTCTGATACTTTCTAAAAATTCTATCTTTTCGTTTCTGCATTGATACTTATGCTTTTAATCTTAATACGTGAGCATTTGAGACATCACTTATAGCGTGCGCAAATCAGTTTATGGAAATAAATTACAAGTTATCCGTAGCCCAGCATAAACAGTAAAAATGCAGGAAAATGTATATTAGATAGATGTATTTTTTTTTCTGGTAATTTCGTTTTTAATTTTGACATGTAATCAGAGGGTACTTGCCGCAAAACTCATCTTGAGTTTTCTCGGAGCTTCTGGAGCTTTAACTTCACCGGGACTAGCACTTGCACCTTGCACCGATGAAATCCGACGAACCAAATCAACTGACTTACTTCTGAGTGCGTTTGTACCTTTTATATTGAAACATTGAGTAACTTGCTTCTTTTACGTTCATTTTGGCGACGAAGTGGGGTCTCCTTTCCATACCGATTATGGTTCCCTTCTTTTGCCAGAAATCGCACGGTTTCTAAAGGTGTTTCTACATGAAAAGCGACAGCCGATGCGGAACTACCACCACTGCGTTCTTCTAATGTTGGCAAAATAATTTGCGCATGTTTGCTTACCGAGAAATTGGCGAAAGAAGTGAAGGAGAGGTGGCCACATTCCGAAAGAAATGGGACAATTAAAAAGTTGGGTTGAACGAACGTAACGCGTTGCATTGAACATTGAATCCCTCAATTTTATCAGTACCAGATATTCTTTGACTGTGAATTATGACAATTTATTATAAATACTTCTTGGTATAAAATAATTCCCAGACGTGGAAATGGATTCGATAAAATTTGTATATCCTCAAAAGGTTGATCCGTTTCTTTAATTATCGAATCGGCAAAGGGCATAGTCTGCTCAAATTCTCAAGATGAGTCGAAAGAAACTAAAGAGAAGGACTTTCTAAGCGATCCTATGAAAGAAATGGCTGGGTTAGAAAGTACAATTTTCGCGATAGATTGCGGGAAAGTGTAGAGAAGGATCTCAAATCCATCGTTTTTCATATTTTCATCACCTGTGCCTTACAGCTCTTACTTGCGTATTGACAGATTACAAAATAAAAATAAAAACAATAGAAACATGTATTTTTCAGATAATGGAAGAGCAGTCAAAAGTGTTGCGGGTCTAAAATTTTGCAACTCGGTCGTTAAACGAAAAAATTCTCCGCTCGGTAATCACTCGCTTTTTCCGGGTTCTTTGCATTTCTCTAAGAAAGTGATTTCTAGTAAAAAAGAACGGGTCACGTCGTAGTTGAGTAAATACATGCACATGTAGATAGTTGTTTTACCCAACCTGGCGGAATAAATGACAGGGGACTTTTCGCCGTTTTTCGCACCGTTTTTTCATGTTCAGCTTCGCAAGTTTGTTAGACTCCTGGTGACAGGTGCAAGATCGCCTCTATTGTGACAGAGCAGTGCCGGTACTAGCTGAACGACTTTAAATTATGTAAGCCGGGAACGCGAATAACATAAACATACTACAGCTCCATTACCGTGACAATGCTCAAGGAATGGCGGTAACTACAGGCCGATTTTGCGAGCTATTTGGAAACCGAAGCTGCCTGGCCACCGATTAAGGACCGTTCGCTCTTGCTTTTTTTTTTACCGCCCCCAAAGTATCACTCATTGCTCCCGATGACCCTAATTGGGCACATTAAGGCAGTATTAGACACGGGCGAAACCTATGCATTTATCTCGTTACTTAGTATTTTCTTTTTTTCCTCCGCGATTCCTGCAACAAATGTAATAACCGGGCTGTATCACGTTTCACTGAAACGCTTCTACGACACTTTTGTCATAATCTTTCTAGGTGAATAGTCGATGAATGATTTTTTAAGTGAAACTTTTTATGGCCACGGTAATACGGGTAACTTTGCATATTATGAAAGGAGTCTGTTTCGGAAAGTGAAACGCTCTTTATTTTTCACGGCTCATTACCGCGAATTACAACTTTGTGTGGTCAGCGTTGATAGAATTTGCGTAAACGTTTTCGTTAGTATTAGCGCGTTATTCTGTCAATACCGATATGTAAAGTGAGATAAGAACGACACATATACAAGATCAAAATAATTACGCTGAAAAATGTACCGAATGCGTAAGGACATTTCGTGAAATTGTGGTTGAGGATAATTAATAATATTTACGTATTTCCTTTAAATTTGACGTTTCACTTATAACGCGCTTTGCACATGCCGATATTTTTCTCAAGTACGCGTGTTTAAAATCAGTGACAGTCATTTGTCCACGGTACATTTAACCGTGAATGGGGACTTTTACAATTGTTAAGCTATATTTGTGCGAAAGATATAGAGTAACTATTTGTATTTTGGAGATAGCGCTCCTTTCTGGAGCTTGACGAGAATTCCTTGTTATTGCTACGAAGGATGTAGAGTCGAGGTTTCTATATTGACAATTTCCGGAAAACCACGTTGCGTTTCCTCATTGCGCACTAAATTTCGCACTTTTAATGAGCCGGGCCTACCGCTCATTGGATTCTAAGAAACTATGCCTCGGCTATAAATGATACACGTTTGCGGGTAAAATTAACGTTTCCATTTCAGCTGCTTCTGTTACCGCCGTATTTTGACCTCAAAACGTTGCTAGAAGCACAACCAAATAAACAATTCAGATATTGTTATTAATCGTGCAATTCAGTCTTACGAGTGTTCAGATAAATTTGTGAATCTGAAACGGAAGAATTCAAAATTGTTAATACTAGCCGTTTCAACCCTTTTTTTAGTGACGTTTCCATTCGAAATATTTCAATAGGATTTTGTAATAATATTTACTTGTCCGCGATGTTACCGTAATAATCGATTGCTCTTTCTAACCTGAAAGGCAGTCCAGAAACGGATGTTCCATTCATTTTTTGAACCTCCCCACAGTGAAAAGAGTCTATTTTCAGAAAGCCAAACTACGGCGGTTTTCTCTGCTACGAGGGCGCGTATTCCCGTCACAAATGAAAAGTTAACATTTCTTTAAGGAATAGTGTTTAACATTTTTCATAAACACAATTTACGAATTTTTGTAATCGATTCAATGCTTAGTTATACTCTTTTAAATAGCCAATTAAGTCATATAGACTGGTTTTTATTGGCCAATTATAAGATAATCCCAAACAATTCGTATTTATTTATTTTAATATGAATTTCGCAATAATTCGACGCAATGTTTAATGTTTCAGCACCAACATGCCGCTGCAAGACATCACGATGAGCCAGACTCTGCCAGTAATGAAAGGTAAGAATTGTACCCAATTGAATAGAAATCGAACTTTTTATTCTCGTTAATATGTTACACTTTGAAATTTTGCAAGATGTTAAGGGTGAACTTTATTCGTGTGAATAAAATTTCATTTGTAATCTATTTCGAGGGTGGAACGCATTATGTCGCTGCAATTAGCAGAGCAGTTCAGATCACAGATAGTAGATATGACCTGGGATGTCGTCGCGGTTCATAAATCGAGCAGTAAATATGATGGATGATGCATATTTAATGTCCGATAAGTAACGGCACTCGCTCATATGAGAATGCGACTTACGAGGTGTCATTAGATCAACGATCGAGGCGGATCAACGAATCGTAGACAATGAGCCGATCGAGATCGGCCATCTTCTGCCGTAACCGCTCCCACCTCGTTGGCAATCTCCAAAGCAATTGACCTCCCATTGGCTCGTATCGGAGATCACAATGAAATTACTCCCGAGATGATCTCGAAATAACTCAATAATTTGCCGCATCAATTACCACGATCTCTCTCGAGCCATTCGGTCGAAATAATTTTTGAAGCTTTACCTGCAGATATTAAAATGTATATGTTACGGTTTTCTTCCTTTAATACACATTGGCACTATATACAGAATGTTTAAAAATTCTCGGAGTTCAAAGTGAAATTAAATCAGATCTATTTTAAAAACGGATACTTTCTAGGGTAATTACAAAAACAAACTCGCAGTCGAGTTTCAGTATGTACGCAGTTGAAGTTGGGCTTATTTTTTAAAATCTGCTAATGTAATGATATGAATGTATTATTTCTTTCTCTTGGCGTTATGCTTCGGTCGTGATTGGGATGACAAAATCGATTATCAGCATTTATATGTCGTAGTATGTCTTCTTAANATTAAACCTAAGTTGTGCCTTAGCGCGACGTCGAGAGTTTTCTTCTCACTCGCTTTCGTATTTTCCTTCTCTGTCTCTAATTAGAGCACTGTTGACATCGGGTGGCAAAACTATGTAGGACTCGCTCGGTCGGCCGGGACCTCTAAAATCCCGATTTTGATGAGAGTGGGCATGACTTCGTCATTGATCTAGGTCTTTTCATCGTAAACTTGGACAGTTGCATCACGCCGGCGAAACGCATTGCGCAAACCTGACGGAAGTTATTCGAGATCGGGCGGACATTTTTTTTTGTTCTTCCCCGTTTAACTCCTCGATATTCCAGTTTCACCAGGAACCGTGACGATTACAACAACGCTCGGTAAAAACGAGACATAAGTAATTATTGTCGTTTCTGCGGCGTTGGGACACGGCGCGACACTTTTTTTCTTTTTCTCTCCCTTTCTTTCGGCCAGCTGAAAGTGTCCTCTTACTTTACTTACGAATATTTCGCGCCACGGTTTGCCCGTCATTACGACCCATGGGTGTTGCCCACTATGCTAATGGATTGTTGTACATTCATTCCTTTGATTTACCGATGCAGCTCTTTATGCAGCTTAAACGTCGAGTACGCGACCGACATATGCATTTTTATCAGTACCTAGGGTCGGTCGTCTCTTAATTTCTTTTTTTGTCACGGATAAAATTATGTACAACTCTGACTGAGATATGGCGAAAGGGTTTAAGAAACGACGATAAGGGGTTTTCCGAGTATTATCTCGTGTCATGTGTAAATAGTGAAAGGAACACGTTTCAGATGAGATTAAAAGTTTAGTACACCTATCATTTTTTACTATGTTTTATTTTATACGGTATTAATGACAATGGCGGGACGAAGAGTTAATAACAATAAAGTAAATGATTGACTTTTCTATTTTGAGAATTTTAGGGTTAAAGATATGGAAAGTGCATTTTTTTTACGTCGATCTGAAAGTGTTTTTACGTGGGATAATTTTTTATTTTTTGAGATTTTTTTTACCAGCTGTGGAGTAATTAATTCAATTAATGATAATTTTGATGATGCACTCCCTCTGCACAGAGTGCAATGTCGACGAACCTTCGTCAGTTTTTATTCATGCTCATCCATGAAAGTGGCTATTTATACGCGTTATTTTATGTCTGGTGGCATACAAGGAGCCGATGGTAAGCTGCCGTTCGGTAATTAAGAGTGTCCGTCTAAACGTTCATTTGCATAACGCGAGTTGAAGACTAAATACACAGTATGAGCGCACTATGATACATCAGCGGAAGACCAAACGCGAGATATGATACACCAGCGAGGAGGAGTAAATATGTGATAAAATAAAGTTATGTTTCCGAGTACCTAGCTTGTGTAAAAAGAAATCGCGCGGAGTGTAGTTCCGTACCGTTTTATCCGTTTTCATTTTCGTCAACTCCTGGGCGTCTTTTAGGTAAAAGGGAGGAAAAGAATGAATCGGAAGACGCGAAAGGGACGGATGCACCCGAAAATAAGAAGGCCAGAGGTAGAGCGGTACTTGGGGAGAGTTTCCAGGAAGCGCATCTTCGGTCTCTCTTAAATCGGCATCACCGTCGCGATGCGTCGTGTGCGTACGCGGGCGCGTCTATACGCAGTCTGGAGTAGAATGGAGAGGACGCGGGGAGGGCGGATAAAAAAAGGGACGTTAAGGCAGGACCAGTCCCCCTCCTCTGTGGCTAGGAATATATATTTAGACGGGAGTAAACGCTTCGAACTGTGGCCCGAGGAGAGCTTATAGACGACGTTTCCTCGTTTTGCCACGCGCCGCGACACCAGCGCCTCGACCGCCCGGCCAAAATGGCGCGCGCGTTTCGCGGGGCTCCGCTATTTTTTATGCCCGGAGAGAAATACCGACGGCATTAATTTCCAGGAGAACGACGAGACTCCTTTTCTCCCTCGTGAGGATCCCTTGGTAACCGGCCAATGCTCGCTTCGTTCGTTCGGCTTGGGACAATCGTGATCTGATTACGGGAGGTGGCGCGAGCATAGCGAAATTCACACGTAGAAGTCTTTTCGAGATATCTACCACGGTATCTATGTGAATTATTACTTTCTTTTTGCACCGCACTCCTTTTTCATTCGTATGCCTCGAATTATACCGTTTTTCGGCTTTCAATTGCGGTTTCAGGCGATACAAATGTGACGTCTGAGGAGTCTTGTTTATGGATCATCCAAACTAATTGTACTGGGTCGTTTGACATTTTTTCTCATGAATATGGGGGTCCTACGGAAGGTCCTGACATCCATGAAACTTCATTTCTTAAAAATTTGTATCGAGACATTTGTAATTTTTGTATGAAACATGAAATTTCGTGGATGCTAAGACCTTCTTTAGAGCCTCCACATTCACGTGGTAGAGTTTCAAATGGTTCGACACACCCCGTTCGGGAGAAAAGTTTCATAAATATTAACCTCCGCGGATGCCACTTTTGTCTCACCTTAAGGTGACGTTATTTTAATTATGAGAGCAGGGTAAAATCGGCGAGTAAGGTGTCGGTGTCTCTTTTCTCACTTTGGTAGATCATTGCGGAGCTTACAAATGTAAGATTTATTATCGCGTTTGGGGATAACGTTGGTTCGATCGTGGGAGGTGAAGCTGCGAGGTGGGAAAGTAAAAGATGGCGAGGCGTCGAGTAAAACTGTGGGAGGGACGGTGTCCTTAGAAAGGGAATAATGGATGGGAAGGAGCCGACGAGCTAATGCCCGACTAGACGTTTCGCGAGGGTTAAAACACCCGTCTGCCATATATCGCGTAAATCTGGCGTTTAAGTCGCGCGAATCCGTGTCAGACGGGTACGACATCAGACTTTGGCAAGCTCGTGCGCTTCCGCGATCCGGCGGATCGAAAACTCCACCAGACCAGACGGATTCAAGAGAAACCGTTTTCCCACGTCGAATTTTCATCCCCCTTTTCAGGTTTCCTGAAATCCCTTAAGAGGGTCACTGAGCTGAGAAATGTGCTTTTATCAAAGTGAGGTTAAAAGCGAATGAAAAGATATATATGTATATATCAAAAATATTTACGGGACTGTTTTATTTGGCGTTTTGAGGAGAATTTAAGATAAATGTTTTACAACGTTTCAAAATGGCGGACCTGTGGAGACTGTAAATTTCTGATCTTTTTTTTTTCCACCGTGTATATGATTTCTGAAGAACGGCAAGTCTGAAACGAAAAGTTACGGTGGTTTTGGAGACTAGAAAGGATTATTTGAAAGCCGATGGCACAGTTTCTCGATGAAAAAGACATTCAAGTTCCAGCAAAAGAAAAGTGCCTTTTTGCACTTTAATCGTTGACATCTTTCGAAGCAGAATTTTCTGAAAAAAGTCCGTCCCAATGGTTAAATAATCTTTTCTAGGGTCTAATACTATCTTGATTTTTTAATCCTTTTAATTCTCCGTACAATGCCAGATAATATCGCCCCGTATGCAAATATTTCCTGTACCTTTTCGTTCTGTCAGTGTAAACTCACTTTCATTAACACGCATTTCACAACCTTACCAATCCCCTTAGAAGGAAAAGAAAATAACAAGGCTACAAAAGTGCAAGTCTATTTAAAGATGCTTAGGTCTAAATTTGTCGTAGATTGTAATTAGGCCAGTTGTCCGTTTATATGAGAAAAAGTTGCAAGAAAAGGTAATAGTATTTACCCCTTGAGCTCGAATGTCTCCTTGCAAGGGAACAATTTGACTTGGCGAAGGGAGCTGTCCGAGGGCAAAGGGTTAAAAATATCAGGGATACACTGAAGGTGGCTTACAGTCGGCAATCATGTTACAGGATGTCTGATCGCCACGTTACATCCGTTTAGGGCAAATTTCCAGCAGAACGGAGACCCGGTTCTTCGGGCACCGGTGGTGGAGGGGACTTTAAACTACGCGTTCATGCATTGTCAACTTGTCAGTACAGTAACGCACTCGCATTAGACACCATGGCGACGACGATTTCGGGGAAGAGGCAGCGCGCTTAAACCAGTCTTTCCAGGAACGCTCTCCACGTGTCCAGGGCGTAGATGGAGTTCCGAGAAAGATGTGCAGAAAGTTACGAAATTAATCGCCAATTGCGTCTCATTCGATAAATTACCTGAAATGGCCCATTAGGGGGACTAACCCTCGGCCGGTATCTTTTGAAGCAATACATCTTACTTGCAAATTAATAACTTTAAGTAGTTCAAGTGATGAACCGCGGGTACACTTAAGCGGACAAACCGATGTCGCGGTGGTAACAAATTGGAAATTACTCATATGTACCATATGTTCGTGTTAATTGATCGCAGTTGTTGGGCGGTAGTGAATAATAGAATGGACGAGAGATTTTATTCATCGTAAATGGAGATTTTATGGAAAGAGGACAAATTAAAGGTGATAAAAGTCTCTTGGTTTAGGAGGTTATCCGTGGTCTAGGATCGTTTGGATCTCTGTGTGACGGTCACGCGAAATTACCACTGTCAAAGGTTGAATAGGTGGTAGTTGATCGAGTACTGTCAGGTGTAGTCACTTCGGTCCGATCGAGCTATTTCGGTAGACTCTTTCCCGACTGGATTCGATTTTTACTCCATTTTTGGCGCTAAATGTGGAGAATGGTCGCTGGCTTCTTTTTTAAGGCGATGCCGCAGAAGTAAATTCAGCCTGCGTTTTATTTCTTGATCCGTTTGTTGGCACCTTGACCGTGACGAGGTGACTCCCGACCAATGGCGTTTCGTCATCGCCAGGACTTTGACGATCTAAGGCTTACCAGCCCTTGTTCTCCATTTTCACCCCGAGGTTTTGCTCCTCTCGCAGCCTCGACTTCTAAGGGGTCTGAAATCCGTCCTTTTTGTGGCCCGCGAATGGCCGGGCCTTAAAAAATATCTTAAGAATGAAAAATCGGGCATATCTGACCCTGCGTCTTAAATTCACATTTTCTGGAAATATCGAGCCCATAAACTTTCCATTTTGTCGCCCCTGAGAAGCTCGAGCGTTTTGCACAATTTTGAGGTGAGAGTCATTACTTGAATCTCATTCCGCCATGTTGTTCCTCTTCTGCCGAGCCCAGGGATCATAAGTCATCGCGACTGTGATTTTAACGAACCCCTTAATGCCTACTCTTCCGTTTTGCATTTTTATTTCGACCGGAAGTGGGACACGAACGAGAGAGGTTATGAAAGGAGACAATCACAGTTATGCCGAAAATAACCGCAGATCCTGAGGGGGGTGTTACTCGGTTGAACGAGTCGATGTTTTAATCATTTGTTTCTTGCGTCTGAAAATATCTATTTGTCGGGTCGACCGTGGTCTAGGATGACCGCGTTTGTACCTGCATTCATGTAACAATTCCATTGTATCGTAGCCTATTTCTGATGTATATGGATGTGGATCCGCCCAAAAGACGTAACGATGAAATTTTCAAGGGCAGAAATATCGTCGTGGTCAATTGGCCACCTTATAAGTATAATTTTAAATCCACACATAGACGTTATCCTCAAAGAGTTATTGACCCTCTGCAATTTATAGCCTATAATATTCAAATACAGTATTATAAAGCCTTCCTCAATGAATAAATAAAACAGTATCCAAGGCCAGAAGTGCAATTTAATTCGACGACCTTAAGTACATAGTAATTTACACTTTATTCCTAACTTATTTCTTCTTATTTTCATTATTTAATTGCGCCATCGCTGTAAAATATTTCCGTATTTATTCTAATGATTTTGAGTTACACGTTTCGGACTTGACCTCGGTAAATTAAATAAGACGGTAAAATACGCGACTTGTCTGGTTAAGTCGATTAACGAGTTGACGTGCTTTAAAGACTTTTTTGAATTTTGCTTTTTAAAGTCCGTACTTCCGGCGCTATCGGATTACAGGAAGCGAGTTTTGGTTCAAGTGTATCTTTACACATGGCGTCGCGCGGAGGTGCGGACTAACTAGCTGGGCGTCCCAGCGCCAGAGTGTATTTCTGTATTTATGTGGCAAATCGAGGCCATTTTCGAATTTATTTAAAAACCTGCTTTATTCTTGCACAGGTTTAGAGCATGCATTTCTTTCAGGGTCGGCGATAATAATCGCGGCGTTTTTAAATAATTGACGAAACTCCGGCGATTCTCGGTGCCCCTTAAACTCTGGAGATACCGATATGTAACCGATAGCAACGTTTCTTAAAGTCTGGTGCTTTTTCTTTAATATTCTTTAAATATGTACGAAATGTTAACCACGCCACTGATATATCCGTATGAAGCATTCATACGTTACGTACAATGAAACAATACGTCTCCGACGAAAGTAATTTATCTTCTTATTAACAATATANTTCGATTTATCGGTGATAAGTGTCACGCAGTTTTGTTCCTTGTGAAGTTTATGAATAAGAAATATCGAAAGTCGGGGAGGGAAGGGCTTTCTTTCACGGCTGTTGAAATCGCCAAAATGTCGGCGTGTTCTTTGCAAGTATCCTCTCCGTTAGAAGTGAAGCTTTTAAATAATAGAGAATTATTATTAATTATTCTTAATTATTTCACTAAACACCCTTACGGTACCGATTGTTTTTGGAATAACAATACTAAAACACGAAGATGAATATAAATAGTAAGCCGCTATAAGAAAAGAAAAAAAGATATTTCAGTTTTCGATATGCTCCCCTTTCTCAACGTGTGAACTTCCTCCCGTGACGTACGGGTTTAATTTCAACAATATTTTAATAAAAATATTGCATTGGTTCTGCTACAATTTTAGGCTCCTGAGATGAATGTTACCCGACATGCACAGGTGCATGGCGGGTCGACGTTATCCAGGCGCCGACCAAAGCCGATACTCTTACGGCGGCTACATTTCTTCAATAAAGATTGGAATGTAGTTCTAATCGTATTGTTACAACATAATTCTCTATAGTGAATATATAAATTGGCGTATAAAATCGTGCCTCCCTACATTCCGTTGGCGTAATTCCTAGAGTCTATTTACTGGCCTGAACGAGTGCTCGACGATCGTTCGGTGATCTTTCCTTCCCGGGGAATGAATTTCTTTATTAAATCCGATTACCTATCCAGGATGCAGTTGCAGCCGCGATTAGCCCATGGCGAGAGGCCGACGCAGACGACGGCAGACGCTGTTCCGGCCGAAATTAAAGATAGATCGAACACTCGGTTCTGGCTTAAATGTGTCATCTATAAATACTTGAGCTCGCACCAGCTCCGTGCAGAGGCGCGAGTCGATAGAGGGACACCTATACGCGAGCGGAGTCTCTCCGCATCTTGGGACAATAGGCAGGGGTCCTGTGGGAGATTCTTCCCTGTAAAATACAGGACGTTTATGCGGTCATACTTCCGAGCGAGAAATTTGAGACGCGCGTTTGACGATCCAACGACAAACGCGCGAGGCATTTATGCAAGACTCGCTTCTGAGTCTAAGGGGCCGTCGAAGAAGTGCATTCCGTCTGGTAATGTACTGAGAACTGCGTTCAGTTTTCCAGATAAAAGGGTTTCCCAAATGCGTGGACGGATTTCCTTAGAGGATCTCTCCGAAGAAGGATATTCGAAGTAATAAATTGGAAAATCTTTTGGTCGGTAGAGCAGACGTCTACATGATTTTTTTATTTAATAAACTTTTATGATAAACTTTTGCTAGGCACTCATTCCGTGTTGCCAATTTAGTAGTCGTGGAAACATCGTCGGTAAGTTTAATGGCGACGAGGACACGGTTGGTAATGACATTGACAGTATTAGATCATTATTAATACATTGCAAAGATATACATGTTGTTCCTTCGATTTGTGTTTATTCCATTCTCTAGTCGGGTTATAAAGCCATCTTCTTTTGTCTATGATTTTATGTGATTTTTTGCTCCAGTAAATCATTTGCATAAGTACTACAGCCCTGAATCTTCCTATGCTTTTTGCAGCCTTTGGATCTATCAATTGTGACTGAAATTTAATGTCTCCTAGTGTAGCGTACATTGTTCTCCATAATCTTTAAGAAATTAAAAGATTTTAGCATCAGGCATACACTTGACCATTGCATCAAGATAATATACAATGGATGGTGTGAATTTGGTCTAGTGGCCTGGTACCGCTGCTCCTTTTTGTCGATTACGAAGTTAGTGCTTTCTGAACTTAATTCCTATTCGTGTTAAATTTACCTATGTATCTATTCGGTGTTGTAAATTTAATGGCGACGAGGACACGGTTGTTAATGACATTGTCAATATTAAATAATTATCAATAAATTGCATAGATATACGTGTCGTTTCGAAGTTAACGCTTCCTGGGCTTAAATAGTATTCGTGTTAAATTTTCCTATGTATCTATTCGGTGTTGTAAATTTAATGGCGACGAGGACACGGCTGGTAATGGCATTGGGCGTGGGATGCATCGCTTCCTCTTTTTAACCCCTGGTCACGATACGTTATCGTTAAACCGCCGAGTGTAATTCGGAGGGACAGTGGGACATTATGAATCTGCCTGCCGGTAACCACGGGGACCCGCTGACTCATCGTGGGTCTTGTCACTCCTGTTTTGAGGTTATCTTCGTACTCGGACGGAGGATCGTTATCTCTGTTTTCGTTGGAAGCCCCGAGATAGATTCTGGGCTTAACGGATCGTCGGCTAACCAGGAACCGGGGATGAAAATAATCGAGTCCCGTCTTCCGAACGGAGCGAACACGGAAGTGTCCTCTTTATCGACAAATGTTCACCTAGTTCACGTTTTATCGCCGTCTGCGTTCTCTCAGAGGGGCACGATCTCGAACGAGAGGCGTTCCCATGGGAACCTGAATATCAATGAAGAATCAAATCGCTTCGAATGCAGATTTTATATTGACTTTTTACATCCATTCGGAATCTTTTCCAATTTCATCCGAAGCTTCTGTTCGAGTCGGTTAGACTTCTCTACATCGAGTTTCAAGTAATTTAAGGCAGGATCTGAATGTGTTTTTTTTTTTTATAATAAGGGATATTCCCCCGTTTTTTCCTAGGGGGAATCACGAGAGAGAAATGAGGGCAATCGAGGAAGATATTAATCTCCAAGATATTTTATTTCATTCATTTCGGGTATGTCACCATGAATTTGATTTCATTTAGAGGAGACGTTTATACCATTTTTGATCAAAGTATTTCGATTTATCGGTGATAAGTGTCACGCAGTTTTGTTCCTTGTGAAGTTTATGAATAAGAAATATCGAAAGTCGGGGAGGGAAGGGCTTTCTTTCACGGCTGTTGAAATCGCCAAAATGTCGGCGTGTTCTTTGCAAGTATCCTCTCTCTCGTTCCCCGTCTCTCTCCTCTTCTTGGCACGAAATCCCGCGGAAGGTGCTAAATATATTCGCAGAGATGGACGAAACGAGGAAAACAGGTTGCAAGAAATTATTTATGTAGACGTCGCGACTCTCCTTCTTTTTGGGCCCGCACTGAACTCCGGTTTCGAATTTTTGGCGGCAAAGTTTATATTCGACATTTGCAATCTGCCGCTGCGATGTTCGACTTAATCGAGACGGGACCACTTGTCATGGCAATATTGAATCACAGGATGCGTTAACGATGCTTTTCCTCCCCTAGAGGTCTCTTTGTCGTTCAGTAACGTCTTCTGTAGAAATGTTTGCAATTGTATCAATCGTAGATATGATCGAGAGAGCTTCCTTTCGAAAAACGAAACATTTGGCAAGTTACCAAAGAAAGTTGTGGCAGCGGCCAACAAAATATTCTTACTACTTGGTAAAACGAGCGACATACATGTGACCAATATGATGTACAGAAATAATAGCCTTTTGTTGTTCGTACAGCAGAAATGTTTCTGCAAAGATTTATACTACCCTCTTTCTTCGGTATTTCACGGTTGCCGAAGCAAGTAAAATGTATTATTATGGCTGTAAATTATTCCTCTGCGTGTATATTCTTTTCACGCTTTTGTCGACTAATCGGAAAGGATAGGCAACCTTTGAATGAATTTCCTGGAAAATTACGTTTTAAAAAGATGTCAAAGTATGTCTTGAATGGTAAGCATATCCTTAGCGTGCAAAGCAAAGTAGCGTTGCGCGAAAACCATGCTAAAACTGAGACATGCACCAATGTGTCGACGGCAGGGAAGATTTGCAAACTAACAACAGGCAGGAAGCAGCAGATCGTTGACTCTTCCTCGTACCTCTTAGCTCCAAGCCGCTGTCATATTTTCCGTCACTCTAATTTTACCGCTGTCGCCATCTAGCGTTAAGGCTACGTCCACGTCGCAAAAGGAAGCTCCGAGTCGAGTTTACAGTGTACTGTAAACTGCATCCTGAGAATCTTTCCCCAAATAATTCCGCATATCTGTCGGTCGGTTTCCCTTAGAACTTCGACTTGCGCCCCCAAAGTACAGCCTAGAATAATTATCTCTTCCAAATCGTGGAAACGGGTGCAACTGCTCTGTCCTGAAACTAAAATCTTTATCGGATCGAAAGGGTGACGTGTATTGGATTGTTAATCCGCAGGATCACCGAGCCTATCGAGTTACGTGAGACAAAGCCAGACCCGAGGGTTTCGGATCTTGACGGCATCGTCACGCTCTTTTGACACGACCTTCGCGTCGATATGTACCAAAGACGACGCGATACAGTCGTCGGGATGTAATTTTAACCGCGAGGAACCTGTTACTGCGACGTAACCTTTGGCTATCCTCGCTAGTCTCGCCGCAGTTTGCAACGTCGCGCCATTTCGGAGACCCGGGGGCCCTCTATCATATTTTCGCGCTTTTTCACTTTATCTCAGCATAACATTTTAGAAATAAATCGCGCTTAAAGTTCCTCCCCACGCGGTCGAGATGTGAGTTATCGCGCAGATCGTTGGTATGGGATGCGGTAGATCCAGGTTGCTGGATCCTACGGTTGGCGCACTCTTCGAGGATCGACCGATAAGGATCGAAGTGATGTTCGGTAGGACCTTAAATGTCTATGGAGTGATAAAAAATTGCAATTTCTTCTTTCCTTTTCCTTTCAAAAAGTTTTTTAATCAAATTTATTTCACTTTTAATAGCGATATTCGACAAGTAGGACCTTGAATTTCGGCAGAGGGATACAAAATTGCACTTTCTTTCATTTTGCTTTGTAAAGGTATATTAATTGTATTTAATATTTCACGGCGATTTTTGGGGGAATCGACCGTTTGCGCGTAAATTCGCCATAATGCGAGAGATAAGAGAGGAAAGGACCGTACCGTCCTCGATTCATTTGTTTATTGTCAAACCTGCACGCTGCTTTCTTGTTTCTTCGGGGACAATTCATTCGATTGGCTCAATTTAGCCACTTGACTAGGGCCGCCCACGCTGTCGATGCAAGTCAACGCCAGTTCTACTTCATTTGTCCGATTTGCCTCCCTGTTAGCGCGAATTAACGTTGCATATATACAGTATATCGCAATGTGTGCGAAAATGAAATGTCTTTGAGTGAAAAGATAATTCCTTTGAATGACGAGAAACGATTATTTTCAAATTTGTTTCTCTAAGATGCCGTGGTTTATTTCATTTCTTTTTATCGCCGCTGAATAATAATTAGAAAAAAAAAGAGAGGAAAAATTTGTTTGGGAGAATAAATTGGCTTTGATTTTTTCAGCAGAAGGTATATCATGCAGTTTCACTTTTCTATTTAAATTCTATATTTATAAAAAAAGGGAGCATTTTATATATTCATTCTTGTCGAATTATGGATAGTAAAGGTTTGCAGTGCTCGTAAGTTCAGAGCGAAGTGGGCCTTCCACTTAGACGTCGCATAATATAGGAAATATTGGAGTTGCAAGGGTCGACGAACTTTTCGCGGTAAAGCGGCAGGCTTAAGAAATGCCCATAAAATGTTGGCCTTTACGGTTTCGGAGGTTAAAACAAGGATATTGCAGAACCCACGTCGACGGTTTGAACCTTAATGCTCGACAATAGGCTGGTCTTAACGCATTTGGTGAAGTGCCAGAAAGGTTACACGGGCAGGCCGAACGTCTTGGGAAATTTCTGAGATACGAGTGGCTCGCGCGGTAAGGGATATATTCCCATGACCGTGCGCCGGAAAATAGTCCCTATGGTTAGGAGCGGTCATACTGTCAATCTACCAAGGAACTATTTTTTTTTACCTGCAACCTATCTTTCTTTTACATTCATTTCTGTAAAACTGATTCATCTACAAAAATCCATTGATTCGTTAATTTTTTTAGTTGACCTTGCAGTTTATTTACTTCTAAGTTCTATACGTAAAATCGGGAAAAGGGCGTTGAAGGAAAGAAGGCGAGTTGACGTCATTTCTTTATTTTCTGGGGATTTTTCCCTAGGGTTGGGGAATTCTCTCGTCAATCGAGCATCGAAAAATGTTTCGGGGAAGGGGACAACGTCAAGGGTTTAACGTCAGTCGAGATCGGGAGAAATTGTACGGTCCCCGTGTGTCATGCTCGTCACATAAATGTTAAAAATTTCCTTTAAACCTGGGCTAAAGGCCTGCCATGAAATTAGGAACAAGCGAGGTTTAAGCGACGTCTTTCCAAAGTTTTCTGCGGGAAACCGTCCCTTTGTCGAAATTATTTCGGAGGGTATGCCCTGCGGAGGTTTTCGGAGATGACGTAAAGGAAACTGCTCGAGACCTGAATCGGAATCTTGATTTTTGACAAGGATCCCGTATCGATAAATTGTTTGACAGTCCGTCATGTTATGTGAGGAAATAATCTAACAGCCATATAATGCAATACATTAAATACAGCCTAAAATAGTTTATTTGAAATTTTAGTTCTCTTGACTACAAATTCTGTACCATTAGTAAAATCATATCAATATTCTTTGCAAGGAATTATTGTTCCAGTGGTATTTACGAAAGTAAATAGTACAATAGACTCATACGACATGATGTTATTAGGGTGTAATTTAAGGTATAAGAGAATTGCAGTGCTTTTCATAAATGTAATAAAGTTTCATTATCCTATGTTACAGGTAACCAGGCAAAATCTCCTGGAAAATTACCATCTCCAGGGGGCACAGGGATGAGTGGGACGGGAGGCAGAACCATGAAGGAATACGAAGACCAATTGGGCACCCTGAAGAAGGAAAATTTCAATCTGAAACTGAGGATTTACTTTCTGGAGGAAAGAATGGGCATCACCTCTCCCGATGAGGATGCGGTCAAAAAGAACATCGAGCTTAAGGTTGTCACTACGATCAATATATCTCAGTGATAGATAAGCTCAAACATTTCTTTTCTACGTGATTTTTAGAGGTATGTTTACTTAAAGAATGGAATGCTTATGTTGCAGGTGGAAAATGAGTCGCTTAGAGAAGAATTGATAGAAAAGCAGAAACTGCTTAATCAAGCGGCCAAAGCCTTCGAGCTGATCGAGGAACAAAAGGAAGCGTCTTCGCGTAACCAATTGCAGTATGAACAATCATTGGAGAAAGAACGAGAAAGGATAGCGCAATTGGAAAAAGGTAATTATTTCTAATCATTCTATATTAGCGAACGAGTTGGCTTGATCTCTTGATTAATTAACGAGTGACTTGTTTGGCAGGATTTGAACACCCTGTTTTATATCAGCTTCTTTATCTTCTTCATATTTTCTTCTTAGGAAACATTGCAAATGACAAAAGGTTAAAGAATTCGCTACTACTATACAGTATCTTTATTTCAGAATTGGAAGAGTATCGGGAAAAAATGACGGAAAGTTCAGTGTACTACAAAGAGGCTTTTGGAATTACTCCAGACAGAGTTCTCGAGCATGAAGAAAAACTGCATCAAATGGAGGAACTCGTCGCTTCTCTTGAAGCTGAGGTAATTACATTTGTGGGAATGTTTTTCCCACTGATTTTTCGTCTCGTCCCGGGTCTGTATGTGGACTTTATCAGTAAGGCTTATCAGGCAGACCCTACCTTAGACACAGATAAATTATCTCTTAGGTATGAGCGGGATTCGAACCCGAGAGCCCGGTGTACAGACGGTGAGCGTAATTGCTGGGCTATCGAAGGCCCGTAGAGAAGTGGGAACTTCTAATATATACATAATGATCGCCATACATTTAACTAGTCGCATATTTAGACTAATAAAACTTTAGCGGCTAATTTTTGAAACGCGTCATTAACTCTAAAACTTGAAATCCTTTCAAAGCTCTTCCTCCGTGTGAGGTGACGTGTGACTGTTATCTAGAAACACTTGCACTAATCTACTTCCCTTTCCTCTTGCAACGAATGAAACAGCCAGTCCTGTCAGTATATTTAGTATTTGCCTTCGTCGCTAAAGCCTGTGCAAATGTAATTCCTGCAACACCTGCAAAATCTTGATGCAAATAATTTAATCGGTTTATAACGTTGCGTGCGTCATAATCAAACGAGCGCTGTGTGAAGTTCGAATAGTTTTTGAAAGAAATATGAGTAGTGTAAATAATGTTTCATTCTTGTCAGGGGAACGTATTACTGAAATATTTCCCTGGGAATTCAATATCTTGAGGATTAATTTAGTTAAATGCGGAGATGTTAAAACTACATTCTATTATGTACATCTAATTGTTGGGATTTTACTTTGAGCTCTGAAGATGTCATTAAAATATAATATCGTAAATCGTCAAGATGTACAAAATCCGTAGTGAGGAAGTAATTCATAAAAGATACGTTGATTTAGGTACAACAAAGAACTGCCAGTCTGGAGGAGGAGCGCAACTGGGCTCAGGAGTTGGCGAGCGAAAGGGACCAATTCAAGGATCGTTTACAATCGGAAATCCGAGTACGGGAAACTTTGATTTCTGAGAGAGATCGGGACATTGAGGAGCTGAGGACAAAGGTGCGGGAATTGGAGGAGCAAGTGTTGAAGAGGGAGAGCATAGTTCAGCAATATAAACACGATGTGGCTGAGAAAGATAGATTAGTAAAAGAGAAGAGTGTCTTGTTGGAAGAGAAGTGTCGCGCCTACGAAGAACTCGGCGTGGTCTCCGAGAAGAGGAAAAAACAGATCGATCAGCTGAGAAATTCTGTAAAGTCGAGGGACGATGCCCTTACGGACCTTAATAACAAAAACCGGGCACTTCTGTCACAGGTAAATCCATCGCTGTTTAATTTAGAAAAATCCGAGTACCTCATCCGAAGGTTCTGTTTCTGTTCGATGTTCTTAACTGATAAACACGGAAGGAATATTTTAGAGATATTGTGTGCCTTGTATCGGCCATATCGAGGAAAGGAAATAATTTAATCCTATGTTTTGTTATTTTACAGTTCGAGAACAGCTATACGAAACGATGTTCGCCACCCAGCAGTCCATCTACCATGAATTCCTTTGACGATACTCGGTCACCGAGGATGGGGCACAAGTCAAGTTGTATTCACAGTCCACCGAAGTTAGGAAGTAGTCCTGTAGATTGGGAACCCAATAGAGAGAGGTCCCTCAGGGTCAGATCTCCGATTCCATTAAATGGTGCAGAGTACAACGATATTACTGAGCTGTCCAAGGTATGCTATTTGAATTTTCTATTATTTTCTTCTTTCTTATTGTCCCATTACATTTATTGTATTTTAATGCGTGGTAAAATTTTGCAAAGCAGCAGGTGGACGAGAAAGATCGCGAGTTGAAGAGGCAAGAGCAGGAGAAGAAACAGCTCATGCTGAAGCTCTGCAATGCACGAAAAGCCAGCGAAACGACGGAACAGAAATTAAAGGATGTGGAGATGAATTACACGAATGCCCTTAAGGCCATTAAGGAGTTAGTAGAGAGACAGAGGGAATCTAAGGAAATACACGCCGAGAAAGACAGGAAAATATTGGACCTGGAGGCAGAATTAAGTCAGTTAAGAGGAACCGAACATTTCAAAGAAGGAAGGGTTGTTCGCAGCTCATCTGTTAGAAGAAACCTTGCCAGCGAAATGACAGATGACCCGGAACGAGATCACTCCAACCAGGTCAATATTAAACCCTTTTATGGTTTACTGACTCTTCACTGACTTCGCTCCCCCCTGATCACTCTATTAGCTTTTATGCCTCAACTTTCCTTCTTTTTATCTGAGAAAATCCCGCGACGACGTGGATGCTTGTTAATAATGAATTCCATTAAATTTTTTGAAACAAAAAATGAGGTTTACTTTGCAACGAACATTCTTCGTTAGAAATTGATTTATCGAATTGTTGCAGAGCCGTGGGATTTTCTTGTTTTACATATTCACAGTACGTTTATGAATAAAGATGACTATACAGTAACAAAGAAAACACTATTTAATTATGTATATGTATAAGTTATATTGTTATTTTTATTGCCATCTTTATTCAAGCATGAAGACATAGAAGAGTTGTTTTACGCGGGCCAAATACACTGCAAATTATTTACAATGCTCGCATCCATAGCTTGACAGACTCAGTATATCTCTGTTTTCTTTCTTTCTTTCAGAGGCACTGATTCTCATTTCTTCTCTGCTTTGTGCTCAGGCATTTTCAAATACATGACATTTTCTGTTTTGGGATTTAAACTCATCTCTGCATCAACGAACTGAAGAGAAACAATCGAATGATCTATTGGCATTTTTGATAATTTGACTTATTTCTTAGATCTCGTCAGTATGACCGCATTATTTGTCTGTGATTTTATTTAAGGGCAATCTTTCCTAGTTTCCTGTTTTTGCAAGGAAATAGTTGAAAAAGGGAAGTTGTCCAGTCTCCTCTTTAAAAATGTTCTCATTAATTGTACTTTGAAGTCCTACAAAATACGTGCACGTATTTTTTGGGCACCCATAGCAGTTATTGAGAAATAATGACGAATTCATGTTGAATTCCTTGCTTCTTTTAGACGAAAAATCACGGACATACTGCGATACATACTACGAATGACTAATAATAACGTATTATCGATTTGTTCCTACTTCAGTAACTGTTTCCCATCATTAAGGTAAAATTCAAAGCGTGTTGCTGCTGTGTATGTCCTCCAACGTGTATGTAAAGTGTATTGAAATTCTACTACAAAATTTTAAACTCATTTTTAGGATTGAAAATCCTTTTAAACTTTTAACAGTTTTCGAGCAAATAATTTTCTGGTCTATCGCTGTGTACGAATGACACGGAATGCTCATTGACCACTTGCTGGCATTCAGTAAAGGCTAAAAGAATAAATAATTACTTATTTATTAATTAGGACATTTCTCGGAGTGTTTCAGTTTATTTGGACTGAAATATGTGTAACCCCGTCCATTTTGCTATTTATTATATATGTATGAGTATTAAAATGTTCAATAGAAATTTTATTTGCGTCGCGTGAAAACATACACACACATTATAGAACACAGTAGCGCATAAAGAAGACATGGATAATGTCAGAAAAATGGCGAGAATCAGAAGTATTGCCGCCAAAAATCATTTGATAAATATATACTTGGCTACGTTTATGTAGGGCGCAATGCTGCGGAATTTATGTCGACCGCATGCACGCATATCGTAAATTCTTATATACATTGCATGCACTTGTATACGCTAAGATGGACGCAGCCTTATCAACAATCATGGTATTCATGCATTTCTGGGCTCCCCATAAACTGTACCGTTGAATGCATTCCACAAGTTCTCAGGAATATATTTCGAAGCAGCATGAATATATATAAAGAAAAGAATTCTACGTTAGTTATCACAGAGTATATTTCGGAATAGCATTTGAAATGAAACATGATTTATACCATTTAGAGCTTACACCTTCTCGAGAAATGCCCCAGGTTTTTTTTTTCTCATAAAGACATTTTGACAAAACGTATTATTTAACTCTCCACGGTTCTGAAAAAAATCATGAGAATATTCTTTGCCATTTCTGCAGTTCCATGGAAGTATCGTCTTCGAAGAGAGAATATACTCTCATCGTATAGCCTAATGTGCATTAGTTTAAAAAATCCTCCCATTAAGGCGATGTGAAAGTGACTACACAGAGGTCTCGTTTATGAGACTTTTCTCTGAACTGGGTGCATCGAATCGTTTCAAAGTATACAACGTGAATATAGAGGCTATAAGGAAGGTCCCGACTCCTATGAAATTTGAATTGTTTAAAAATTTCTTTATTGGTATGTTTTAAATTTTTCATTAAAAATGAAATTTCACGGGTGCCGGGATCTTCCTTACAGTCTCCATGTTCACGTTGTGAAGTTTAAAACGATTCGGTACCGTTCGGTTAGGAGAAAAGTGTTATGAACGATCGATTACTCGGATGCCAGTTTCACATCCTCTTAACGAGTCTTATCGGGGTTGCGCTTTTAATTCTCTAAGGCTGACGTACTTTTAAATAGATACGCGAGAGCGATCACGTTTCCGCAGGTCTCTCTCGTGGGGCTGATGCACCCTCCTTTAAGTTCCGTCGACCCGGCGAAATCCCATGGTGTACAGAATCCCGGAATATACACGGGCGTAAAAGAGAGTCCTCTCCTGTCTAAGAATAGAGCTCGGAGCCGCGGCTCTTCGCGATCTTCCTCTCGTCAGTAGAAACGAGAAGCTCATTCCGACCAGCAAGCGTCGGCCGTGCTGTTGCTAAGCCCTCGTCTTACGAACGAACGAACAAAAGAGCCCCCAATAATATTTGCAATATTAATCATATCGATAACTCGAACTACCCGTCGAACGGGAGGGCAGGATTCCGCAGCTGCGCCCCGTAAAAGAAAATCGAAAAAGGATAAGCGCGATCGAGGATAGTCACTCGATTACTATTTTATATCGTTAACATCTCGTTTGCGATAACTTACGGAATTATATTTATGTTACTCTCTCTCTCTATATTAGCGTCATCAAGGAGAGGAGAAATAAAATACATTGCCACGTTTGCGTAACGCGCCCGTAAATACCGCATTGCAGTGCAATCGCATTTCTCGAGAGGACGCGCTATTCTTTGCGGAATATTCTTCGAGTGAATATTTTCTTCATTCATTCTTTTTTTTTTTTTTTAGTATTTTGCTATGCCCGGGGTGTCGGGAATTAACGACGATCGCGAGTGAGTTTTGCCTTTTGGAGTCGCGCTTTGCTATTCCGCAGAATATTCGCGCGAGCTAATATTTGTCGGAGTAAATCGCGCGGACGAAACGACGATTTCGGTCATATCGATCTCCCTTACTTTGTTACTTTTCCTCGGGGGAGCTAATAATAAGCGTGGAATTCGCGATTGCTCGTCGAACCTACGAGAGAACTCCCTATAAACTCCAATTTTTTTTTTTCCGCAAAAATCATGTTCTCTTGCCTGTGCGCCTCGATGCGAGTGGAGGTATGTAATTAATTGAAGGTTCGCTTTTAATTTTACCTTTTTTTTTTAATTTATATTATTTTTCCAACATCGTTGACATTTATGATCATGCTTCTCATTTTTCGCGTTTTATTTCTCTCGGTACGGCTTTGATTACGGATTTATTCTACTTCGCGTACAGTCTCGTAAACGGAGCATGTGATTAATTTAGGCATCATTTAACGAATTAACCTGTTGAACACGGAGCCATTTCTACATATGGGCGAAATTCGTCTGACCGTGTACGCAATATTGGACCAAACGTCGGGCGCCTTAAGCGCTCTTAGTAGCCAAAGGGTTAAAAGTATTCTTGAAAGGATTATTTCGTTTTCATGTACGCACGCGTAGATGTGCCGGGTAAACGATTATGATTAGTGCTTTACTTCTATTGGTTTAGAAAATTTGGACAAATTTTGAAAGACTAGTTCCAAGTTTCCCTCTGAATCAGTGGTGAAATATTTGTCCGGACATTATTGGTCATTGGTTATTGGTTTGTACGTGATTATTCACGTACAAACCAAATAATCGACATAAATCGACCCTTGGTATAATCGTGGAATTCTTGGGAACAGGGCTTTATTTACCGATGATTTCCGATATCACTCTGTTGTCACTTTGCGCCGATAATCCTTTTCGCACTTTGGTTTGGTTATCCAGTCCGTCAACACTGTAGATACACTTTGAGTACATACTATGAGTGAGAATAAGCCAGCTAAAGTAAAGTTTAAATTAAGAGATTTTCAGAAAAATTCATTTAATTAAGATAGTATTTTACAAGGCGTATGGAATATTGAAAATATTACTGATTACTACTTTTTTTTTATATATAAGTTTTCTATCTTCAAGTTTCTGTCTCCACATCATATTTCGTCTTATAAAATATTATCTTTCACATTTAATATTTATCGTCATAATTGCCTATTATAATTTTGCCATAAAAATATGAAGTTCCTTGGGAGGATTAAAACACTAAATAAAATCAGTGATTCTTGTACAGCGTGAATCTTAACGAGGAAGATGTGTTCAATATTATCGAGATTTTTTAAATAAATCTTGAAGATAAATTCTGTAAAAATAAAAGGCGGAAAATTGCTAAATCTATGAAATCTCGTTTTTTAGGAACCGGTCATTGTCACGCTCGTGCCCCCGAGGTGTTGGCCGAAGAAAACGAAAAATTAAATGCCCTATCGATGTCAATTGACAGTTTGCTTCTTCTTGTCCTGTTTGCCGAAGTTGCAAGACTTTTATTTTAGCACGTTTCATCCCGACCTTCGTTTACGGATTCGTCGATACCCAGGGATTATTAAAGAGACTAATTCGTAGGCAACAAAGCCCGATTGTAAATTAATCACGTTGTAATCGAAATCGCTGCCTTAAATAAAATCCTACCCCAATTACTCCCGATTTCTGAGTTTTATTGACGGGCAATATTTGTTTTGCTTTGTGCAGCGGCGCTTCGAGGAAATGGAAACCAAGATCAACGATCTGAGAGACCAGATCGAAACTATTCGAGCCGAAAAGATCAAACTGGAGATGCAGATTCAGGTCGAGTCAGAGGTAAGCCAAATTATTTCAATTTATTTTGATTTAAAAAAAAAAAAGAAAAAGTTACTTCAAACAAGGGAAATGTTCTTTAACCCTAGAACTACCAAGACGGATTAAAGTGACTTGTTTCAAATGGCTCATCCTATGAAAAAATAAATCTGTCGATCGTTCTAGTATTAAATGAACATTCCCCTGTAAGGCGATTTTCCCACACCCTGGACAAATTTTTTGCAATCTTGATATGATCGTAGTATTTTGTTTATATAATTTCTATGAGTTCTTCTAAAAATGTGCAGCTGTAATTTAACATCTGGTTGATTAGGAACTGCAACAGCAACTGCAGGACGAGGAGCAGAAAGTGATAAGACTGGAGACCGAGAGAAACGACGCGAAGAAAGAGCTGGAAGAGAAAATAGCTGAACTGGATAAATTGAGGGAAGCCTACGACCGCGAATCGGCGGAAGTGAAGGATACGATTTCCCGGGTGCTGGAGGAAAGGGAGAAACTGCACTGCGAGATGTGCCAGAAAAATGCCGAATTGGAGAGGAAGAACCAACGAATTGTGGAACTGAATCGAGACTTGCAGAAGCTCGTCAACACGGAGCTCTGGAACAAGAACAAGGAGATCGCTAAGTTCCAAGATCATCTCACAGCATCCAACAATCACGAGAGAAGTCGCAACAGATCCGACAGTTTGCAAGAATCTGCAGCCTCCCAACTTGCAAGTTTGATCCAAGAACTGAACTCAATTGGTGTAACCGTAAAATTCACAGATGACGTCGTCCAGCTGAATCATATCGGAGGTAAAGAGCCCGTGGATGTAAAAACGATGACGACTTACATACAGAAACTGGTAGTTCAGAAAAACGAATTGGAGAACGAGGTCGATTACCTCAAATGGCTGAAAGTCATCACGAAGCCTGACATTTCCGGGGACATTGGAGGTTTCGAAAACGAGACCGAAAGGGCGAAAAAGTGCTGCGAAGTCTTAAGGACTCATCTGAAGGACTTAATGAACTTTATGAAGGACATGCTGAAGGGAGCTGAGTATTCTGACGGTATTAGCAATGAACATAGAAGGATAGTCCTTGATGTCCTGGTCAGTTCGAAATTGGTTACTGATGATTTCGTACATGCCCTGGAAGGGAAAATGGGAAAAATGGCCTGTGGGGATAACAACGGATGCGTCGAGGATAACGTGGAAGACTTAGCGAAAAAGTGTTACTCCGAAAATGTCCTGGATGGGAAGGTTCCTATTTCTGCGCAGTCTGATTCCGAGGCTTTTTCAGAACCAGATAGGACCGTTTCTTTGGCTCGCATTGGTCTGCAAGAGACACAGAATAAGTCCATCGGAAAGTCTAGACATTCTAAGTACACGAAGACTTTCAGCGATTCCGAAGACTCTGTAGAATTCGTCCCTTGTCATAAGACCTATCAAAGCGATCTTAATGATGGAGATATCGGTCATCTGATTCAGGATTTGATGGAAACTAATGAGCTCCTCTGTAAGAAGTTGGATGCTCTACGAAGCGAATTCCTCACCAGAAGTACATTTGATGACGTGAGCACTTTTTACGTATTAGATATAATTTTCTACGCTAATACATATTTTTTTAGTTTAATACATTTGATAGTAGAAGTTTAAATAGGCTTCGCCTTGAATTCAATATATTAAACTGAAAGCTTCACACTTCTTTTTACCACGCCGAAGTCTCTAGCCATCGTGTTGCACAATCTTTACGAGTGCCTGTAATTTATTACTTCCCGTTTTGATTTGCTTTCACACTTGTAGATTCTCGAGTATTTCCGTCCCGCCTGTGGGATCTGTTTCCTGACCGCTTTATTTTTAGCAGCTTTTTTCCATGCCATTTTAAATGATATGTTAGTGTAGATATAAATTGTAATAGTGAAATGCTCATCTTAATATTTTCAGGCATTTGAGGGGAAATTTAAGTCATTCATTGCAAGCCTGGAAAAGTCACAGAGATCTTACGAAAAAGTGCAGTCATCAATAGAGAAGAAGCTGCACGAGTGTCACACCTTAAAGAGAGAAGGTAGACAGAACAGCATAAGGCGAGCACAACTCGAAAAGAAACTGGCCGACGTGGAAGTAGTCGCTGCGGAAATGACCAAACAAAAGGCTGAACTTCATCAGTACAAAGAAAACGCAGAAAGAAAAGCCGCCGAGATGTTGATGGCTCTGAATAAAGAAAACGAGATGGTAACTACTGATTATTTTATTCAATTAAAAAGTTGACCCAATACCAAAATTAAATAAGTATAAATGCCTCATTAAATAATTCTAAATTTCGAACGCTCCCGTGGTAATCCTCCTTTATGTAATACTTATAAATAAATTAACGATTGAAATGATATTTCAGTTGCGAGCAAAAATCAGAAAATTGGAGGAGGAGCAGGAGCAAGCCAAGGCAACTTTATCTGCGCTAACAAAAGAGCTGGACCGCCTCACCTTATCTCACAGTCAGGTCCTCGTGGAGAACACTAAATTGACTAACGATAAATTGCGACTGGAGCAAGAAATGAGGAAAATCGGGAGCAGATGCGACATGTTGTCCGTGTGTTCTCATAACGATAAACTGAAGAAGGAAGTGAGTAACGCGCATCTGATTTTATTTTTGGCGTGTCTTCTCGAGTGAGCTTCAAAAATTTCATTTATTTCCTGAATTACAGGTATTAGAGCTGAATCTAATGAACGACTCGCATCGGGCGAGAATACAAGAACTCGAGATGATTAACAAAGAACTTCAAAGGCAGGTCGTGGTTTGTGAAACGAGCGATTCTGCACCGAGCTCGAGTGGAATATCGTCGATACCTATCGATGGTACCCTCAAGCAAAACTGCGACGATATACAGGATTATCACAATTACAACGTACGTAAGAATAACGTATAGACGATACGTGAAACTAAAATGTAGACATTAAATTTACCCCGATCAAAACCACACCTAAATTTTCACGGATTTAAATTTCAATTTCACGGATCGAAGCTCCTATTCGTACGGGATTTTTAATGTACATAATGGGAGATGTTTTATGGAATTTTAATGGTCTGTCATTTTCTCTTAGGGCTTCAATTACTGGCAGTTGATGAACTACCCTACCTCGACTGGTCGGAGTAAATCAAACTGTTCTCCTGATCTGGGCATCGAGAGCGATGCAGCAGTGACGACGACGAGGCCTTTGAAGGACACTTTGAAAATCACCCAGTCGATTACGAATCTGTTAAGCGACGAGGAAAATTGCAACGGCAAACGAGAATTACGAGATTTGGATAGCGAGAGCCCGCTGCCTATAGAAGGTATTTCAAAGTCATATGTGCTAACGATCACGAGAGATATTGCTCGTACGCGTAAGGTCGTCTGGGAATTATGAAAATAATTCTTTCGTTTTGTTTTGTTTTTTTCATAGGTGGGCATTACTATAGTATGTATTACAAACAGTTGAGTTGAACGTTGAGCTTTTGGCACGCATTCTTCCGGTCCTTCATCGTTAACGGTCATGCTGGATCGCCGTAATAGCTGTCTGGTCATATCACGGCAGTTTTTACGGCGATAAGAATTACTTCATCCTCTGTTATTCATCATAAAGTTTAACTGTTGTCAAATGAATGCTTCGAGACCGCTGTCTAATCTTTGATAACCGAGTATGATCTATCCGTAGAACCACCATACATGCGTCGCCCCATTATATCAGAGATGGGCACTCATTTATTCTGCTCTTGTGCAGTATTGCCACTTTTACTTTATATTTTATTTCCATTATTTTAGCGGTACAATTCCGTAAATACAGGGGGAATTTTAGCTATTTAAAATTTGCCCATCTCTGGCCCGAGTTATGTCTCGTCCTCTCGCACGAAAACTGCCAAAACTCGTGCCTGCTAGTTTACTCATACAATTAACAATAAATAATACAATTTTTTACTCAGTGTCATGCAGAAGACCCATCTGGATATCGTAACGTTCTCTTCATTAGTTTTTAGTGCTTTGCCGAATAACCACTGAATAATTGAAACCTCGGAAATGGGGAGATACAAATTAAAAGTATGATTTCTGTCTACGTTTTTTCGTTTACTTCTCATACATCAATGTTAATTTATAACACAGACATTTTTGTACATCTTCCCCTTTCCGTCGAAGATTCTGCCGCCTCTTTTCCCCGTAGCAAACTAAATTTCGCTATTCTCTCAGGTATGGACGAGGTGAAAATGCTGAAACAGGAAAACAAGGCATTGAAGAGGAAAGTGCAAAAAACCCGCAAAGCTCTGAAGAATACATTTCAGCAGCTGTCCGAGTCTAACAAGAACAAGAAGGACGTGGAGAAGGCTATTACGAAACAGCTGACAATCACGAAGAACATCCTGATGAAAACGCGAACTTACGAGAACGCCTTCGACAACTGATCCAAGGAGCGCGTTAGAAAATTGGTGCATCCTTATCGAGACCTTAGCATTGAAAAAAATCGCAAAACTACGCGTCGTTGTTATCGCTCAGCACGTCCCGACGTTGCGGCCGTTGTTTCCCGTAGTTATCTGGCGTTAACGTCTGTGCTCTTTGTTTTCGCTACGGCGATTCTTAACTTTGTGTACCCGTTTATCGTTGTCGATTCCTCGCTACGCGACTGACGCGCTAAACTGCGCGAAAATACGCCGAAACGCGCTTTAAACGAACTAATAGAGCTAAAACGCGCTTTACTCGCGCTGTCTGGCATGCACACATGTACTGCGCACCGTATTAACAACTTTTAAACAGAACGTTGTTACAACTTAAAACTAAACGTAACAAGGAAAAGATATTTTCTTAAACCTGTACCGAGTATTTTTATAAAGCGCGGCAGAAGTCCGAAGGGGGAGAGGAGAAAATTATTGAAACAAAAGGAGCTCCGCGTTGCTTCACGAAGGTAGATAAGAAAAAGCGGGTGTAACATTGTAGGAGTTTGTAAATATTTACGTAGCGAGTGCCAGAACGCTTGTCGGAATGAAAGTAGACGAATGAAAGGTGGGGAGGGAAGAATGTGAAAGGAGGGGAAGGTTTTTGTAATTTTCTTCCGTTTACTTATTCTACCCAGAGCGGAAGGGCGAACATTCGTGGAGGGACGCGGAGAACGAGTTAGATGGGAAATCGAGGCTCGTTTTGAATGTATTCCCATACGAGTCAAGTATTTTAGCATAAAAAAAGCAACGAAGAAATTGCACGTGTGTATATAAACGTTATATACCCTCATACATACATACTCCATTTGTATATAGACTCATGAAATAAAGTGCCATTGATACAGATCTTTGATTGATATTCGCGATTCGCCATGACCGTCTGGTTCTTGGCACCAGAGATGAGTTGGGAGATTGCTCACGGATAGGGTCGCATGATCGCATCCTGTCCTGCCCTTTGGTTTCGTACGTTAGCTTTCACCGTTTCTGCCCCCATTTGCGGATAAAATAAATAAGGTAAGTTAAGGGCACAGTCAAAGAGGGCGCCACGAGTGTTCTTCCCTTGCCATCAAAAGCGAGCAGTGTCGGTAAGCGTAGGTAAGCCACCACCGTCAACTGCC